TTGGACGGAATAAAGAGGGTATAAAATATTAGCTGAGCAGAAAGTTTCAGTGTACTTGGTTTTCGTATAGACATGATATTCAAAACCGAGTTAGCAGCGATCTCGCACTTTAAGACAGTGAGCCCTGTAAAGCGGCCTAGGGGAAAGTGATTATCCACAACTTTTAACCTCTACTTTTGTTGTTTTGTTTTGTACTTCTCAAATGTATTGCTGTTGTTGTCGCTGTTGCTGTTGTTGTTTCCTTATTATTATTATTCTCCTCCTTCTCCTCCTCTTCCTCTCCTTCTTCAATCTCCCACTTCTAATCCTCATACAGTTTTCAACACTATTATTATTATCACCATCTTCTTCTTCTTCTTCTTCTTCTTCTTCTTCTTCTTCTTCTTCTTCTTCTTCTTCTTCTTCTTCTTCTTCTTCTTCTTCTTCTTCTTCTTCTCCTTCTTCTTCTCCTTCTTCTTCTTCTTCTCCTTCTTCTTCTTCTTCTTCTTCTTCTTCTTCTTCATCTTCTTCTTCTCCTTCTTCTTCTTCTTCTTCTTCTTCTTCTTCTTCTTCTTCTTCTTCTTCTTCTTCTTCTTCTTCTTCTTCTTCTTCTTCTTCTTCTTCTTCTTCTTCTTCTTCTTCTTCTTCTTCTTCAGCTTCTATCTCAAACGTATCTGATTTCAGCTTCTCCCCCGACGAAACAAAATGCAGATGCAGCATGAGGACTCTTCTAACTGCCTTGATGATCTTGTTCCTAATAACAACGCTCATTTTCATTGGCCTGTTTGTATATTACTACATTCGATTTGAGCAGTCTGGTAGGTACACTTTTCACCATAAATTTCAGTATGCTAAAAACACCATGAACTTGATCATTGTTAATTACCATGGTTTTTTTTTTTTTTTTTCAAATTGTAATGTCTAAACCATACACTTCACCTGTTAACTTTATCCTCTAGTTCTTGTACTCCTGCTCGCTTTCTGATAGTAGCACTGTGTCATCAGCGTATCTCAGATTGGTTTATTCTCCTCCCCTCCCCCCCCCCCAACTATTTTAGACATCCCCATCAGTATATAATGTGCCAATAACAGTATGAATTTTCCTTCTGGGATCGGATTAATAATTCTCCCTTTATCTCGGATGGGAGGAATCTTTTGGAATATACTGGTTGGTACTCGTCCAAGAATTAAGTACATATACCGAGGTACCACTGTATTTTTTTTAAAAATATTTACTTGCCATTCAGCACAGTTAACAATTACGCACTTAAACAAGGCTTATGCCTTTGGGGGTCCCTAATCCCAGAAAGTTAGTAGGGGTGCTGAGCACCCATTCTCCACCCCCCCCCCCCTAATGTTTTTCTTTGTTTCAGTGCTTTTGATGCCGTTTATTATCGGTAACCATATCTGTCTCCAGCCCTGTGTCTCATGTGAGTGTCGCCGTGGTGCAGCGGCTAGACGCTTTCCTGAGAATCGGAAGGTCGTTGGTTCGGGTCCTGATGGAGCCAGACTTTTTTTGCAAAATAAACTTTGGTTCCCAGGTCAACCCAACTATGAGTGGGTACCAGGTACAGTCCTGGGAAGTAAAGACGGCCGGCATGATGCTAACCACATCACCCACCAAATGCTGACTGGTCTATAAAAAAAGACCTAGCCCTATATGCCCAATACTTCTGGAGTGGAAAAGGGACTTTAACTTTGCTTTACTTTACTTACTGTGTCTCATAAACTATTTTTTTTCCTTATAATATTTTATTATAAGGCAGCATCGACAGCGTATTTCTTAATGTGACTTTGTTTTCCGATTTCTTATAATTTTCTTTTAACTTTTATTACAGGGCAAACCAAACTGGATTACGGTCGTCCAGTGGGTAAGGTTTTTTTTTAACTGCATCTTTCTCCTGAATAGCAGTTTCATCTTTCCTTTAACCAGTAGCTAGATTATCTCCTATTTTTTTTTTTTTTTTTTTATTCTAGAGGTGTTGTTGCAGTCTCCATCTATGTCGAAGAAGATTGAAAGACATAGAAGATGATGGTGGTGGTGTAATAGAAGCCGTCAATTAGGACATTAATGATGATTATTACAATTATGGCGATGAAGAAATATAAGAAGTAAAGGGAGGAGGAGAAAGAGAAGAAAAAGAGGGATTCTGAAAAAACATAATAAAAATTTTCTATAAAAACAATAAAAATAATAATACAATTAATAATACTAAGACTGCGATGCTGACAAGAGGGAGGAGGAGGGGGAGGGTAGAGGAGCAGGGGCGGGAACAATAATTATGTATTAATTTTTAGTTGTATTGATACATGTTTTCATTTTTTATATAACTTTTTCCTTTATTGTTCATGAACTTTCAGAAACCTGCTTTATAGCCTACAATTATTTGCTTCACAACTGCATAGCCGTTAATTATTGTGTCACTCTTTTCCTGTGTAGGAGAAGTTGCGGGAGATGTCTGCGTCACACCCGACTGCGTCTCTACAGGTAGGAGGAGCTTTCTTTCATTCAGTTTGTAATCAAGAAAAAGAAGTACTCTTAAAACTGTACACAAAGGCGAAGACTTTTAATTTCTTGAACTATCTCAGGTTAGAAGGTCTCGGCATCAAGGAAAAGTGACTTATAAACAGCATCCTGATACAAAACTGAAATATTTTGGTCGTGAGTTGAATTGAGTTGAGTCAAGAATTGACATCACAGCACTCGGGGCATTTCTATGCATGCTCCGTCCTCATCTTCAGCAGCTAGCGGAGAGTTCTAATACTGATGAGACTGGTCATAATCTGGATAAAAGTCCGTCTTGCCTTTCCTCTGAGTGTAGAGAGCCGGCCAGACCCTCTGGTTACACCCAGGTGCCTGATTCTTTCCAGGTCATAATAATCTTCTTTCTCTACTGATTCTGATTCACCACGCAGTGGTGCAGATCCAGCCAATATGTCTGCCTGTTCATTACCCACCACGCCGGCATTGCCTGGTGAAAAAATCAAAAGTATATTCACCACCCGTGACCTTTCCAGTGAAGCTAGCCACTCTGCTCGAAGCATCCCTGTCTTCACCTTTTCCATCATGCTTTCAGAGTCTGTTACAATTACGACATGTGTATGCATCTTGTTTTCTAGCCACCGGAGAGCTGCAGTTACCGCCCCACCTCCATTCTCATGCTAGATGTTGTGGTGTCATATGCTAGGCTGTCTTGCAATAAAGATTTTCCATTGGCTTTCGCTACGAACCTCCAAGCACTTCTCTTTCCTCTCAACACTGAACCACCTGTATAGATAATCAGATCACCTGGGCGTGAATTGTCATGAATCAACTGTTGGACTTCAACCTCTGTAGCACCTTCTCTCTAGACCATTCTCTGCCAGGTTCCTCTAACGTTCCCACTGCCACGATGTGCTCCAGTTTTCTCCTTCTCATGACATGACCAAAAAAGTCAGAATATGTCCTTCTGATGTGGGCGATCAGTTCTCTTCCTGAATAAGTGTTTTTTTTTTTTTAAAGAAATCTGAGTTACTATTTTGATCTGCCCATGATATTCTCCATTACATTTTAGTAATCGATTCACTTCCTTATATTAGGAAAGGATGGCAAACTAATCAGAGTAACGTTGCTTAGTAAAAATCACAGTCATAAAATGCTGGAGTTGGCTCAGCAGAGTCCCATAAAGAATACACTACAAAGTTTTCTAGACAAGGGTTGCCGTTTCAACCTTCAGCGTTATGCACATGCAACCGAATAGGATTTACTACATCAGCCTTGTAATGTATTACCTCAAGCGGAGAAGTTTATTTCTTATACATCCCTTTAGAAACTAGAAAAATCCAGAGGTGGACGAACAACCAGAACTTTTCGCCAAAGTTTACAGTCGGTGAATGGGATGAAGAAGAAGAAAAAGCACCCAAAAGTTGCTTTTTTTGTCTTCCTTAATTATTTAATTTTTTTCTTTTTAAAGGAAAATTTTGACGCCTGTGAGTTGCGGATTTCATTTGGAATGTTTTTTCGACTGTGGCCAACGGGGTTTGCATTGTGAACTGTAGATTCAAAATAGCAAGTGGCCTGTTGCCACATAACCGGTAGTGCCTTATATGATAAATCCCTTGTGCAACTAATAATCTCTTGAAACTGCTGCTTCCATCAATGACGAAATGCATTTCTAGAGTCGAAGTTTGTGTTAGCACGTCTGACGGCTGCCTTATGCATTTAATGCGTGTGTATACTATCGGATATACTGAAACTCCAGTCTGCCAGTTTTTCCACAAAGGGCAAGGACATACATTTTGTCTGCTTTTCGTTGGCATAGAAACTGGGCAACTATGTTGAAACTGCAATTACTTGATTACTAGTTAAATTTCATTTGACGTCATCTTTACTAATTTAAAAAAAAAAATTATTCTTCTTCTTTTGCCTTTCTACACCCCCCCCCCCTCCCCCAATGGAGCATAGGCCCACAACCAACTCACGTCAAGTCGTTCTATCATTAGCTGTTGCGTGCAGCTCTCCCCATGTCCTCCCCATCTTTTTAACTTTACTCTCTAGCTCCCTTCTCCATGTGTGTGTGTGTGTGTGTGTGTGTGTGTGTTTCCCAGTCTTCCTTTACTTCTACGTCCCTGTAGGTTGCAGTGCAAAAGTATTATAGTTATATTGTTCTCAGGTTTTCTTAATGTGTGTGTGTGTGTGTGTGTTTGTGTGCGTGCTTGTGTGCGCCTGGATACAGCGCCAGCATCTTTTCTTCCCCTCTTGGTCCAATGGAAGTTGCTTAGTTCTCTCCCAAAGCTCTATCTATATTAGTGATTCTATCACACCATCTAATCTCCTCTATTCCTTAATTTGTGCCTGCGCAGAATAGAAGGAACTTTTAAATAATAATCCGGTTCTCTTATCTGAAAGCTTAGCACAACAGTGCTTCAGTTAATCGCAATTCCAATGTCAGTCTAGCAAGAACAGTGTTTGATCTCCGGTCAGTCTCAAACGATTATAATTAGGTATGTTCTTTTCCACAGCCGCTCTGATGATGGAGAAGATGAACCAGACAACCGACCCATGCGTGGACTTCCACGAATTCGCGTGTGGTCGCTACAGCAGGGAGACGGTGATTCCCAAAGGATACACCCAGGTGACGACCTTCACGTCCATCAATGACCAAAACCAACTGGTCATGAAAGGTCAGTGGGGACGGTTCCCTGCTCAGACACGTCGATGCACGCACGCAAGCACACACACACACACACACACATACAACCATGTGGAGAGCGGTGGAGGTGGTCTCAGCACCCGTACACATTTCTTGGCAAGGAAAGACGGGTTCAAGAAGCCAGTCTTGTTTAAGCGTACAATAATAATGATAATAATAATAACGGTGTGGTTGTAAAAGAGCCTTTCTATGGCTTCATTTATATTGGGCACGTAGGGCTAGACCCTAATTTCAAAGACCATCGGCACTTGGCGCGGGATGTGTTCAACATCACGCAGATTGACAATAAGTATAATAATTTGTTTGCTATAAAATATATAAACGACAACCTGAAGAAATAGATCTTATATATGCTGTTAGTCGGCTCTGTGGCTAAGTCGATGCGAACACTTCGTAATGCCGGGATGCCGGGTTCGATCCCAGCTGCCGACCATGCGCCTTGCCTTGGTTTCGACAGTGGTATCAAGAAAGCCGACAGTCCAGAAGGAATGGCAAACTACCGGACGTAAATTTACCTAGAAAAACCACACAACAGCCAGGGGCTTTTGGGGTTGGTTCTGCAACGTCCTGTAAAGGATACGCAACTAACCTGTATACTGTTATGGTGGTGGTAGTTCTGGGTGAGGGGGTGGGGGGTTGTGTTAACCAAGTTTATTGGGGGAGGGGTAACAGGGGAGGGTGTACCAATTACACATTTCTTTGTACGAATGAATTTTTGTTGGTTGGGGGGGGGGGGGGGCGTAAGAGGATGTGCTCACTGTGTGTCTAAGCCCCAGCAGCTTCCTCTGACATAGGTTTTAGTTCAATGAGTCGTGAATGGCGGCCTCGTCTCTTCTCGGTCATCTGGTACCTGGTGGTGTTGAAAGCGACGTTTTTCTTATTATTTTTTTAAATATCCAGATACCATGAGTTGTAAACCATGTGACTCGGTAATATGGATATCGCAACTCTTCAGCCTTGATTCCATGATAGATACCGTAAATCTGGGAGGAATGTGGCTTTTCTGCCTACCCCTAGGCGTGAACCCGGACCACAAGGAGTTCGTCAACCGGCCACCGCGCAGATAGTTTTAACCAAATGATCTAGCAAGCAGGGCACAAAATCGACGTATTAACAGTGGGAGAATGCCAGCTTGTGTGCTTTGTATAAGGATGTGTCTCGTGGACTCTTATATACATTTTGTCTAAAGTTTACACAGTCGGTCTCACTTTTGCTTTATTTTTGGTCTATACATCATTAAGATGGATTCATTTTTCAAAGGATTTTTTTTTTTTTTCACAATTAGCATTGGCTCTCGTTGGGGGACCCAACCTAAAAGTGATATCTGGTAATAGCCTAGGTAGTGACAGTATGGGTGTTGACAGAACAATGGGGAAGGAGGGAGTTAACACAATAAATGAAAATGTAAAACGACTAGCTGAATTATGTATGCATTCATATCTAGTTATTACAAGCGCCATTTTTGCTCACAGGTAGATTCATAAATTTACTTGGTACTTACCAGATGGAGTGACTAAGAATCAGATAGACAACCTCTGTTTCAACAATACATGTATAAACACTTGACACATCCCGAGAAGAAGCCAGCAGAGAATCACTAAACAGATATAACAATGGGAGTTAAAGGGATTAGTGAGAGAAGGATGCCCAAAAGATACCCCAAGACGAATGTTAATGAGAAAGGCCAAAGCTGCTGGACTGGATTCCATTCATGATACCAAACTGATTTGCACACGATAGAACGGACTGAAGGAATAGACCGCGAGCCCTATGTGATATATAACAGCACAACAGGATAATGAATATCCGGGAAAGTAAAGGTGGTCGGCTTTATGTTGACTTTACCACTCGCCAACTGCAGATTATGCAAGGTTAATTTTCGAGTAATTATGGCAGTTGGTTCTGACTCGTGAAGCAGCAGACTATCAGCGATGAAGATGGCTTGTGAATGCCTTATGTGGCGGTACCGGTATAGTAGTAGTTGTACATTTTACCCCACTAGGACATCACACAAGCGATAAACACCCAATGACACAAAGGACCACCATGTGGATGAGGATCACCCGTGGAGAGGTCCCGAAAACCGCGTTCAGCCATTAGGCCATGTTTATGGCCGGGCTATATTGCGGCAAAAACAGCTCTCACATGGACACCAGAGGGAAAGAGAAAACAGGGGTAGCCAAAAACAACATGGAGACGAACGATGAAAAGTGACCTGAGTGCGGCATCTTTGACATGGAAGACTGCACTGAAGATTGCACAGGACAGGAAAGCATGGAAAGTCCTCTCTGAAGCCTCATGTGCCACTAGGCATAACGAGAACTGATGATGATGATGATATATTGCGGCACCTGGCAAGAGTTAGGTGGGGCTTCAAAATAACCAAAAATGTCATCTCACAAGGGAATGACTAGTGCATCATTAGTACAGATATGTAGAGAATATAGACAGAAATGTAAGCAATACTTCGATTTTTGAAATAGAACGCAATCTATAGTTTGTTTTTGGAAGATGTAAGGGACACAACCTACTGTTTGTGTTTGTTCATATAATAATATTCTGTAACATTTAATCTTGCTTCAGGTTAAAGTTGGGGTTAAGACTGTTAACCCTTTATCTAACACTATCGCTAAGACTAATCTCAAAGAATATTAAATATTAAAGAATGTTATTATGTGAACTTACAAAAACAATGAATTATACGTTCCTTAGGGCCAACCGTTTAAAGTTCGAAATTCAAAAAATTAAAGTCGTCCCCTCGTGGGATGCAATTTGTGTTTTTTAAATGAAAAGCCCCACCTTGGCTTTTGCCGGGGGCCCTGAATATAGCCTGGCGATAAATTGGTCTAAACGGCTGAAAGGGGTTTCTGAGAATTATCCACGGGTTACCCTCATCTTTATGGTGGCACTTTGTGTCACCGTGTGTTTATCGCTTGTGTGATGTCCTGGTGGGGTACAACAAGCAAGTAAAGTTCATCCATATGAACTAAAATGCGTACCTTAGGGTCGCACGCCCGCCTGCGGGTCGGAAGGCCGTAGGTTCGGGCCCTGACGAGACCGGACGACTGTTTTCAGAAATTACCTTGGCTCGCAGGTCGACCCAGCCTTGAATGGGTAGTAAGTACAATCCTGGGAAGTAAAGTCAGTCGACGTGATGTTGACCACATCACCCACTAAGAACCGATTGATCTATAGAATATAGGTCTAACCCTATATGCCCAATACGCCTGAAAGCTTGGAAAAGAGTACTATACTTCTTTTTTTCTACTTAGGATAGCCATTTGAAGTTGTGTCGATACATAATATGACTCGTGCATTTGCATGGAAATGAAACTGGTGTACTTTATTTTAATTCGTGGAAAATTTCAGATATAATTAGCAGTGAAATAACAGCAGACGAGCCGAAATACTTACAAAACATGAAGCGATTTTACAAGTCTTGTATGGACGTTGGTAGGTACAACTTAGTTAGTTAGTTAGTTAGTTAGTTAGTTAGTTAGTTAGTTAGTTAGTTAGTTAGTTAGTTAGTTAGTTAGTTAGTTAGTTAGTTAGTTAGTTAGTTAGTTAGTTAGTTAGTTAGTTAGTTAGTTTGGTTATCATCATTGCACTCCGGACATGTCCATAGGTGCTCAGATCTTCCCCTCAGTATGAACTCCAACCTCCGATGGCTTATAGTACCAGTTCTATGTGGATTAACAAGTCTTCTGGTGTGTCTGGTGTGCTTCTCGTTTTTTGCTATGCCGATCTTAATTCCCAAGTCTGCCATTCTGGCGAGTGATGTGGATTCACTGCCCCAAAGTCCTCTATCCTTTCCATTTCTCTGAGGGCACTAATAATATCAGCATGATCCATAGGCTGACCGTCAGTAGTGATAGCGGATCCAGCCAACCTATCAGCTCTTTCATTTTCATCGACGCCTGAATTTTCCGGAACAAAAATAAAGGTGACTCCATGCACAGTTGACTTCTTTAATGATTCAAGCCACTGACTGCGCACCGAACCTGCCTCAACCCTCCGGATCATACTTATTGAATCATTGAGTATACATACGCGGACGTACATACGCAGGTAGGTACAACTGCTGGCTAAATGTTGTCATCTTTGATTCGCATAAAAGTTGTGGTTTGTAAATATGAATTTACATTTTTTTTAATTCGCCATCATCGTCAATCAGTGGTGCCTTTCGTCCTTCTTTTCTTCTGTATACATTATTAAAAGAGGGGTTAGCAACGTGTGTTCTGTTAAGCTAGGCAGCAACAACTACGTTTGTCGGCCCAAATCATTTGATTTCAGCACACACTTATTTAATAGTATTTCACAATATGCAGGTTGACATACAATGAGTATATTTCCCTCACTTCCCCTCAAATTAGGACGCCGAAACCGCACGGGGAGCCGTTCATTGATACGTCGCAAAGGGCTGGTAGTCAGTTCACATATAAAGGTTTCATGCTACTACCGCTTCGTGAACGTCTATTTTTCAATAAGGCGAAATTTATTCACGAAATATTATCCCCAAAAGACTCCATGTTATTTATGGCTCTTCAAATATAATGGAAGGAACAGTAAACGCCTAAACATATATCATATCCATAAACCTAGGTTAGATTTATACAAAATAGGCTTGGCGTACTCCGCAGCTCAGCAGTAAAACTGTCTTCCACAACAGATTAAAAATACCACTAGTCACTATAAGTACAATCGAAAACTGTTTGAATTTGATCTGAGCACAGATTACAAGCTGCCATAGAAGACAAAAACGAAAAATGTATTACAACCACTATGGTTTATTGTAGTTAGAAATGTAGACATTCCAGTGCTTGTACTGAATATTTTGATGCTATTAAAAATGTTAATTACTTGTGTAAATGAAATGATGTGAGAATAGAGGAAGAACTCGAAGGGCAGAATGTTAGACGGGCCTGCGTGCTCAATACTTAAACCTTTAAAAATAAAGTTCGTTCGTTCGTTCATTCATTCATTCATTCACCCATTCCGTTTTTTTTTTTTTTTTTTTCATATGAACAGTTTCGTCAGTATCGTGTGTAGAATTTAGTCCGACATTTTTAGCCTTTCTCGTCAACCTTCGTTAATGGATTACTCTTCAACATCCTCGTTTTCTCAGTCAATTCGTTCTCCATTCCAGTACCTGTCTTTTAATTATATGTTCACTTCTAATGAAGTGCCGAATACATCACATCTTCATTGTTGTATAGTACCGTCAGGATGTTGCGGCTGGACGCTCGCCTGCGGATCAGAAGGTCGGGAGTTCGGGTCCTGATTTTTTTTTTAAAGTGACCATGGCTTCCAGGTCGACCCAGCCTTTAGTGGGTACCCTGTGTAGTCATGGGAAGTAAAGACGCCCAGCGTGATGCTGACCACATACCCACGAAGTGCTGACTGGTCTGTAAAATAAAGCCTAATCCTATATCCCCAATACGTCTGAAGGCGGGAAAAAGGGTATTTACTTCACTGTAGAACTTCCGGTCAAAATGGACGTTAGACCTGGGCACTGTTCGGAGCCGAGGCAATTTTTTTGCTTCTGCCAGACGGTGGCCGATGCATTTCTGCTCCATGTGTAGACTGGATATAGTTTCGTCGCCCAGCTTCTGAGTTAAATGCATGGCGTAACACTGTGAGCTGCGGATTTCATTTGGAATGTTTTTTCGACTGTGACCAATGTGGTGGTGTGAGTTGTAGATTCAGAAAATGGCGCGATGCCTGTCGTGCAATGTTGGTGGTGCCCGTATGTGATTAAAATTGATCGGGTGGGCAACTGCTGATTTGTTGGTGACTTCTGCTATCATCAATGATGAACTGCATTTCTAAAGACTGACTGTTTGTGTTAGCACTTCGGATGGCTGCCGTATGTATTAATGCGAGTGTATGCTGGATATGCTGTGACAGCAGACTGTCAGTCTTTCCACAAGGGACTGTGATAAACATTCTGAGTGTTTTTCATTGGCACAGGAGCGGAGCAAAGATGGGATGACCCGTTTGCTATGAAGCTGAAACTAAGGCTACTACAAGACAAGACATCACTGTAACATTGTTGGATAACAATTATTATTATCTTTGAAGCAGGCATTTCTCTGTTTTCTCTACTTTTCCTGAATTCATTACTTATAACATTCATCAGATTCCTCGGAATTTGTTTATCAGAGTAGAAGGTAAGTAAGTTGTACCCCACCAGGACATCACACAAGCGATAAACACCCGCTGAAACAAAGTGCCACCATGCGGATGAGGATCACCCGTGGAGAGGTCCCGGAAACACCGTTTAGCCGTTATGCCCGGCTATATTTAAGGCCCCCGGCAAAAGCTCATCAGAGTTTGTATTTATACAGTCTGGTAATCTGGTAATCTGGTAATTTTAATTTCAGCTTCATAGCAAACGGGTCACCCCATCCTTGCTCCGCTCCTGTGCCAGCGAAAAACACATAGAATGTTTATACAGATTTATACAGTTACATAGCTAAGTGTTCAGTGACAATAACCCCTCTCTCCCTCTTTCCCCCGAGAAAATAATAACTCGTCATCGTGGCTCTCTGTAGCATTGGTACCAGGGCATCCACGTCAGATGACCAAACCATCCTATTATTGTGCTGTTTAATGAATTGTATGGCGAGCTTCATTCCAAGTCCTCTGAACTTCAACTAACTTTGGCTCTTTTTTGTCTTTAGCACAGATTGAGAAAACGGGCCTAGCTGAGTATTTCAAGGACCCCTACTCGAAAGACTGGCCAACCATCAAACCAGAAGCCTGGGATAAAGCGAATTTTCACCTGAATGACCTCATTGCCCGTTACGTAGTCGTCAACACACAGGCGCTGTTCGGGATTTCAGCAAGTCTGGACTACAAAAACTCAAGCAGAAAAGTTTTGTTCGTGAGTAACTTTTGTATGTTAGAAGGCTAAAATAGGTAAATGAAAAACAATGAATGGACTGGAGAAAGTAGTCCTGAAAGGTACAGTTTCCGGAAAATGGTCACAAGACTACATCCACGAAGGTGGATACAAGACATCGAAGACGCACTGGAGATGAAAGCACACAGGGCTGGAAAATTGGCCAAAGGAACAAAAACTGTCAGGCGCGCCGTAGAGAGAGAGAGAGTGATGTTCTGTAAAGGACCTCCTGTTTGATGATGATGAAGATGATGATGATGTTGATGATCATATACGTTAGCAGGCTGAAATGGGCAGCCGCCAATCTCTTGGGATGTAAATGTGGCTGTCATGATGTTCACCAAATCATAATATGAGTGCTGATTGTTTATAAAAATATATTCCTCTTCTTCAGCATTCCGAGTCCTCGAGGTTCATTGCTGCAGGTATCACCAGCCTCTGTTCATCTGTCTTGTTGGCCCTCTCTTTCCAGTTAGTGACAACAAGTGTCTGCAGGTCTGCCTAGACATTATCTCTGCATAGTCTTCTTGGTCTGCCATTTATCTCCCTTGTGTGTACAGTTTTTACTCCTCTGTCATCTGACATCTTTCAATATGCCCCAACAATTTCAGTCTGCTCTCATGATGCCAGTGATCAAAGGTGATTTAATCAGATTCGTTGTTGCTTCGCACTCTCCATTCTCCGCTGTTTTCATCTTTCTTGGGTCCAAAGATTCGTCTTAAGACTCTCGTTTTCGGAAACCTGTAATAAGGCTTCATCTCTTTTAGCTGTTCTCCATGTTTCAGAGCCACATAAAACGACTGGTCTTATCATTGTTTTATATATTTTGATCTTGGTGTTGCGAGACAGACACTTTGACTTTAGCAGATGTTGAAGGGCATAGTATACTTCATTTCCAGATTGTATTCTAGATTGTATTTCTTCTCTCAGCATGTTAGAGCGGTTGAAGTTTGCACCCAGTACTTATATGTCTCCGTTCGTTTGATTTTCATATTATCGACTTGTATGTGACCGGAGTTTATATCCTTTCCTTGTCTAGTTATAAAAATATATGTCAATCGCAATATATCTCCGTGCCATGGGCATGATAATAGCCTTTGTACTTACTTTAATCTTGCGAAATACAAGAGTGCAGGTAATACTATTGTAGTTTCAAACATGAAATGAAACAAACATAGACATAACTTTCTATAACATTAGCTTTCAGCACTTACATTGCAGATATCCGTGGTAGTTAACGTCCTATGGATATTTTCTCCAGGTGATGCCAGTGTGTTGGGAAACGAGCAGGCGGATAGACTTGCCAGTTTTCACCACTTAGTAGTGAATTCATGTATGACAAGCTAAATGCTGTGACGGCCCTTTGGAAGCGAGTGAACAGTGCGGAGGCACAAATAGATCGTAATGGATGAGGAAAAAGGCATTGCGAGGAGTTACTAGGAGTTTTGGCCGACGCTCAACACTCAAGGGAAAGGCGAGATGAATTTAAAAGCAGACAGTTACTGGTGCCATCGGAATTGGATCTCGTTTCTTGCTGCTGAAGATTAGAACGGAGTGCTTATGGGAGTATTCAAAGTTCTATGCTGTCGATCTTAATTCAACATTAATTTATTCATTCATTCTCGAAACTTTGTTCGTCTAATTGCCGAAATTCAAGATAGTCAGGATACTCCATGTTATGTTATCACAATACACATACAGCACATTAGGCAGCCCATGCCTGCTCAATTCTCCGATGCAGCAGCCAGTCCAAGGTAGTTTTACTAATTGTTCCTATGAGATATTGGTTAGAATATCTCAGCCTCAAAGGCGGCATGCTTCACCATGCTTTACTTCTATCTCCCGTGTTAGTCGTCACTATCCACTAGCACTGTCCGTACAGCTAGTCAAGAGAGTCAAGACAGTCCAGATAGTCAAGACAATCAAGATTGTCAAGACAATCCAGATAGTCAAGACAGTCCAGATAATCAAGACAGTCCAGATAGTCAAGACAGTCCAGATAGTCAAGACAGTCCAGATAGTCAAGACAGTCGAGATAGTCAAGACAATCAAGATAGTCAAGACAATCAAGATAGTCAAGACATTCCAGATAGTCAAGACAGTCCAGATAGTCAAGACAGTCCAGATAGTCAAGACAATCAAGATAGTCAAGACAATCAAGATAGTCAAGACAGTCCAGATAGTCAAGACAATCAAGATAGTCAAGACAATCAAGATAGTCAAGACAATCAAGATAGTCAAGACAGTCGAGATAGTCAAGACAATCAAGATAGTCAAGACATTATGTCAGCGCGATGATGTACACTGATCACATGACTTAACCTCCTTTATTCTGTCTTGGAAACCCAAACAATCCACGGAAACAGCTCCACGACCCTCAGCTTGGCCTATCTCAGGAATACTACAGTCTACCAAGGAATGATTCTCGTATCCTTGCATACCAGAAGTTTATCAGAGATATCACTGTGGTTTTGGGAGCTAACGAAACAACGGCTGAAGAAGACGCCACTGATATTGTCGATTTTGAAATAGCACTGTCTAAGGTAAGTCCAACAAAAAACAAAACAAAAAAGTTAAGGACAACTTTGACGCCTTTAGACGTATGGGGCATATAGGGCTAGACCTATACAAGGCCATTTTTGAAGAAAAAAAATTTTTAAAAAGTTTCGAGCTACCTAATTTTTCTTTGTACAAGGAACTTTGAGAATTCTTCTGTTTAACTTCTTCTCTATTGTCTCGTTGAATTTTCTGACTTATTATCTACATCCATATATTGATACGAAAACAATGCAGCCTGTACCAATTCTTGTAGCCTCCAGTAACATGGTGTTATTGCATAAAGTGCTCGTCGTTTTTTTAAATGCGGCTTTTTTCTTTCCTATCGGCTACCGGGCTCCCATATGCTCGCCGGTAGTCGACTTCGTCGTCGGTCGGGACAGTATTTGGGTCTGTCTCCTTTGATCGCATCAACACCTCTGCCAATGTTTTCAGTCTAAACCATTTGTCACTTTTTTTTTCTACTATGCATGATGTTTACAAATACTTTGACACTTTCACTATTTTGTACTTTGTCTGTTATACAAGGTCCGACAATTAAGGAATGAGATTGATTTTATTATGGCCAAGACACAGTCATCTATGAAGCAAATCATGAAATCTAAAGAGGCAACATTCATCTATGATCTGGCAACTTTTCATAGCCGCTCAAAAAGTAGACAACAAACTAGCCGACCTTTTGTTGACCTAGTCAGCGGTGCATTGTTACGTAATCAGCACGGAGCAAAAAGCTAACATTAAATTCTTTTTAAAACTCAGAAAAAAGCGCCACTAAAAGGGTTGGGATGATGCAACAAGTTTATAGGGATAATTGTTTATCTCGTGCACAAATTTTCAGGGGGCGTGGAAATGATTAGTAACGCACCTGGACATGGACGTCGCATTTCTGTTCGTAATGACGAACTCATTGTAAAAGTCAGAGAATGGATACAGAAGATCATTGTTTTAATGTGAGGATGATGGCAGATGAATCTGGTGTTAATAGACCATTCATAACATTTTATTGCAAGATTTTGGCAAGAAAAAGGTTGCTTGCCGGTTTGTACAACATTCGTTGTCTGATGATAAAAAAGATCAGCGGGTTGAGTACCGAAAAGACATCATCGAAACAAGAATTTTTGGCCCAAAAATAACTGTGTGTTCTCAGCCTTCCACCCTAATCCCCAAACGTGTCTCTCTGTGATTATTTTTTATTCCTAAAATTAAAGTTACGATTAAAAGGACGTTCTCTAACGAAATTGATGACATCCAAAGGGCCGTAACATCGACTTTAAGGGCCATAACAATAGCAGAACTACAGAGGTCGTTCCAGTGTTTGTTAGATCGTGCCACTTGCTGTATCAATGCACATGGGGCTTACTTTAAATCAGACACAGGTTTTATCTTCACCTGTTGATTATTTCAATTTTTGTGAAATCAGTTTCATTACTTAATTGTCGGACCTTGTATGTCTAAGGGGTAGAGACAGAGGTCGACTACGCAAAAAATATCAGAGAAACTGAAGAGTATTGTATACGAAGCGAACAGAACAGCCCGTTCCGGAGATGTCTTCCTGCCCTGACGCAGCCAGGTTTTCCAAAGAGTGGGGGAAAGAACAAGAAGATATGTCTAAAATTGTGTTATGCCTGTTGTTAAAACATTTGAAAATAAGTAAGTAAGTTGTACCCCACCAGGACATCACACAAAGTGCCACCATGCGGATGAGGATCAACCGAGGAGAGGTCCCGTAAACCCGTTTCAGCCGTCATATTTAGGGCCTCCGGCAAAAGCCTACCCGGGGCTTCAAATATAGTTTTACAAAATTGCATCCCACAGAGAAAAAAAGGGGGGGGGGGGCGATTATTTTAAGCGGTTTGAAAATACTGTTATTGTCCTTATTGCTCTATTCAGATCATGGTCTCCAAAGCTGAAAGACAAAATTTAAATAAAGTATACAATCCAGTGAACATGAGCCAGTTGATGTCTTTGTATCCTGGGGTAAATATACGTTTATTCATTGTTTTTGTGTTTTAAATAAAGTAAAATCTTAGTCATTACACAACATGAGAAGTCTATGGCTTCGCACCAACAATCAAGTCAAAGTGATACATTTGAGAGCCTGTATCTTTCTTGTGGTAACATACGAATGTCAGCCGTGGACCTATCTCGACATCATTAAGGAAGAAAATAAGTTTTTTTTTTTTTTTAGCTGAGAAGCTAAACTAAGATTTTTAGAATATCGTGGACATAAAAGTAAAGATCAATTTTCACACGTTTAGGCGCATCGGGCATATGGGATGAGCACCCATATTCTTAAGACCAATTGACACTAGGTGGGTAATGTGGTCTGCAATACGCCGGACGTCTTTACTTCTATATGACATATATCCTGTTACCCATTTCCGGCTGGGTCAACCTGCGGCCCAGCCAGCAGTGGGTTTCGGTCGCGGTACGTTGGGTTTACGAGTCGGACTTGCAACGCCTAAGCCACGGATGCCGCTATAGTGGGATAGACGACAAGAAATCTTGACGTCCATAAGGGTCTGAGCATAAAGGAGGATTTGCTGGTAAACAGCATCTTGTCACGGAAACTGTAATACATTGGCCGTTTCAAACACCATGGTGGCTTGGAAAGAACATTAGCATAGTGCAAGGTACCTGGTAAAATGGGCAGGGGCAGAACAGTGCAAAAATGGGTAAAGGACAGTAAATTGGGCAGGAAAGGGCACGACGTAGTGGAAATCGCTTTTGCCATAGTTTCTTTCAAACTGGCTGAGTTGAGGGCGATGTTGGGTAAAGGACCTGCTACAGGATGATGGTAGTATTTGTCAGTCTGCTTACTTCTATGTCATCTTTACTGTGGCCGCAGATATAGTTGCTACGAAAGGGGTGATAAAGTGAACAAAAAGAAAATAAATCAAACGCTTACTTAAAGATAGAAAGACAGTCCTCCAGTGTGACTTTGTTTAATTTTGTATGTGCTGATGAAGGCTCTACAGCCGCAACGTTCACTTTTCGTTTGTTTTCGTTATGTATTGTAAATCTCGTTGATCTACTTAACCTAATCTCCTTTGGTTTACTATTCTTACAGCTGGACATACCTCGCACCATAAGAGCCTTATACGGTATTGCAAACGTAACGATTCCTGACGACGAAACGGTTATCAACATGTACCCAACATACATGGAGAAACTGCACGAAACCATTTCTAACTTCTCGGGCCGGTGAGATGAACTCTCTCTTTGTTTACTGATGCCAAAGTAATGTTTCCCGTTTGTGAATATAAGCAAAGAAGATACAAACAATAAACTGCACACTTTATTGCCTGGCGATTTGTCAATATTCTGAGTTACTATCTCCGCTACTGCCGGTCCCAAGCACGGATGAGAAAGGAGGAGTGCTGGGCCTGAGGCCAGCTTTCCCAGCCTGGAATAATGTATTTGCTAGAGAATTTGCAGGAGAAAATGCCATTCTGGTAGACACACGAGTCAAGTGTGTGGGGCATGTAAGAAGGTTACGGATGAAAGTCGATCTGCGGAAACCAGTTCCCAGACATGCGGACTACTTGCCTCAAAAATAGTCAGCAGAATAAGGTTTCGGAATGTCATGAATATGGCGCAGGCAACAAAATCGGTCCAGGTGGCAGACGAAATGAAAAAAATACCAACTAAATATTTTAGGGTTAAACGGAGTTAAATGACCAGCAGCACATAAAAGAGTTGTTAGCGGGCCTACCATTATATACTCTCGCAGAGAATTTGGTAAACACATAGAAGGTGTAGGAATTATGATGACCCTCAGAGCTGCAAAATGTCTGCGAGAATGGGAGCCGATTTCAAGCCGAAAAATTATATCTAGGTTTCGTACCATACATTAAAATGACCATCATTTAATTGTATGCTCCAACTAACGATTCTGGGACCAAGGATAAAAATCAATTCTATGACCAGCTGCAGCATTGGGTAACTAGCATTGCTAAACATGGCACACAGAAGATGGTTTAAGTAACTGGTTTGAGGTTGATACTGTATTGAAACAGGGATGCATCAGCCTATAATTAGGCGGATAACACATAGTTGGAAGATCTTTATTTTGCTGACACTATTATTCTGTTAATTAAAATCAGCAATGGCATGCACATGAAAACAGATGATTTCGCAAATATATCATCAAGGTTTGGACAATGAATAAGTTAAGACGCCAACAAGAGATCAAGCAGATGTAACACTAGAGGCAGAAGTAGTTAAAGTAAAAGATCGATGTACTTATTAAGGTAATAAGGTGCTTTATTAATACCCTACCCCAGATGACGTCAGAGGACAATCAAACATTTTAGAGGGTGGTATGACTGGGTTTCCAGGCTTTCTGATGCTTCTAACTACCCTAAAACATCCAGAACTGTCCCTAACCCCAACCCACCTACGTCCCACAACAGAGTGCAGCCTAGGTCCCACAACTACATGCAGCCTATCTACCACCCCCTGAAATATTTGGCTGTCCCGTGACCTGTAGATTTCCTCTGTTTAGGGTAGGATATAAATAAAGCACCGATAATAATTTTGATAGTGAAGGGAATACAAAGAAAGAGATTATGACCCGCATTGGCAAGGCAATAGCAGCTTTCAATAACTTGAGCAAAACAGGGAACTCCAAACTATACAGTTTTGAAACCAAGTTACGAATTTTAAATTCTTATTTTTGTTTTAGTTTTAACACATGCAAGTGAAAGCTGGAGAATCACTGAAGGCATAGAAGGAAAATTAAATGTATTTTAAAACAAATGGCTAAGAAAAATTATGGAAATAAAATAGAATGAATTCGAAAAGGAGTGAAGAAATAAGAGAAATGTCTTGGCGACAACTAGTGTCAATGATTACACATACACATATGTGTTGTTGTTGTTGTTGTTGTTGTTGTTGTTGTTGTTTCATATATATATATATATATATATATATATATATATATATATATATATATATATATATATATATATACTTCTACAGAGAAGTAAAAACTGTAAACACATGGGAGATTAATGGTCGTAGACCACGAGACAGACCAAGAAGACTATGTACAGATAATGTCCTGAAGCCCTACAAACACTTAGTGTCACCAACTGGAAAGAGAAGGTCACCCAGAGAGATGAATGGAGGCGGGTGATATCTGCAGCAATGAACCTCAAGGGCTCGGAATGCTGAAGAAGAAGAATATATATATACACACACACACACACACACACACACACACACAAGTTTTCGCAGGCGATTCTTGAGAAGAACAGTCTTCTTCTGCCTTCTGTCCTGCAATGGAGCGCAGGCCCCCAACTACGCCAAAATGTTCTATCCGTCGCAATTACATGCAGCTCACCTCATGTCCCCCCCCCCCCCCATCTTTTAAACGTCACTCTCTGGCTTACTTCTCCCTGTGTTCTTTGCTCTTAATTTTTTTTCTTAGCCCCTGTGGGTTCCAGCGCAAAAACATTCTAGTTAAAATGTTTTAAGATTTTTCTAAGTGTGTCCTGTCCATCTCCAGCGTCTTTGCTTCACCTCTTTGTCTACTAGAACTTGTTTAGTTTTCTCTGAAAACTCAACATTAGCGATTCTATCACACCATTTTTTTCCGTCTGTTCTGTGCAGGCACTAATTAATGAATCCGTTTAGTTTATTAGTTACTGTTTCAGTTGTTCCTGAGAAAAATAATTGGCTTTAAATGGCAAGACGAGATCACAAACACTGAGGTGTTGAGCTATGGAAACTATTATCTCAATGCTCAGTCTTTGGCTGTTCAAATAGCTAGGACACACTTGGAGAGTTGAGGAGGGTAAAGCACAAAAGAAACCTTCTGTGGTGAATTACAGATGGTTAGAAGATGTCGAGGTCGACTTCTACTACAATATATTAAGACATGTGCAACTCAGACATGTATGATACATGTATTGAGCTGGATTCTTAGGAGCAGGATGCCATAAACCGTGATGCATTGAGAAGGAAAATCTTTAATGAAATACAGGTACAAGAGAAAATTACAGCACATAGATTAAGAACTGGGCATTTGAGAAGGATCACGTTAAGTACATGTGACGGCAACAAATCCTACAATCTCATCTTCTAGTGGTAGAAGACCTGTTTGTCACGCTCCATGCATACCATTCAGCCAGCCAACCGACTTAAAAAGGTTAGTTTCGTATCCTTTACAGGACGTTTCAGAACAATTCCAGCTTTTTTTTTTTTACTGTTGTTGTTTTTCTAGGCAAATTGTCAGCTCCCGATACCACTGTCGAAACCAACGCTAGACAAACCGTCCGCAGCTGGGATCGAACCCGGCATCCTGGCATTTCGAGTCAGCTAACAAAACAAGCAAAATAATCGAGCAGTCTCTCATGTCTAACAAAATATTCTGATTGAGTGAGTCTTCTATTCACAGCGTTGTACAGAATTTGTTCAGCTTCAGATACGCTTTGGGCAGAATACAGGACCTTAGCAGTCGCATGAGAGAGGTCAGGCTGGATTATGACAAGGTTTGTCTTAGGGGACATTTCTTCATAAGAATTTTATCAAATGTTGAAATTGGGCTGACATCTGAAATTGCTGTTTAATTTTTTGGTTGTTTGATCCAGTGAGTCCCATCCAGGACTGAATGTTGAATGTTGAACTAAAAATCAACATCACAGCACTCAGGACACCCTCATAAGCGCTCCATTCCCATCTTCAGCAAGCGAAGAGTTCCTGTTCTGATAGTACCAGTAACAGTCTTATAGTATATTCGTCTCGCCCTTCCCTCGAGTGGTGTGCGTCGGCCAGATCCCTAGGCAACTCTCCGCCGCCTCATTCTCATCAGACGATGATAATCTGTTTGTGCCTCCGCACTGTTGACTCGCCCCAAAAGAGTCCTCCCAATATCTAACTTGTCATACATCATTTCTCCACCAAGTGGTGCAGAACCGGCCTGTCTATCTGTCTGATCATTTTCCAACACACCGGCACAACCTGGAGAGAATGTCCAAAGGACGTTAACTAGGCAGGACCTCTGAAGTGACGCTTGACACTCATTCACGGAGCAGGCCTATCACTACCTTTTGTTAACATGCTTTGTGAGTCAGTTACAATCACGGCATGTCTTTCTGTTAACATTACCCCCTCCCCCCTTTTTTCTTAGCAATGTTATCTGCGGCCACAGGGATACTACCTGTGTACAGTTGATTCTCAAGCCAGTGGAAGGCAGCATCCCGGATGATACTCTAACAGCACAAATTCCACATATTCCCTTCAAGCTCATATGAAGCTATAATTAGGGCGCCCTAACGGCTAAATAAAGTACTACCCTTGTCTACATGTTTGTCTCATATTTGAGAAAGATTTCGAAAAAGCACAACCTACCCACACTGGTCTATAGGCTACTTCATAGCCCTTTGTATGGTGCTGCTATACGGCTGGACGAGGTTGTCAAAGGCACATCTGGAGGGGACAAACACGAACAGAAAATGTGCTGTCAAACTGTTATTGTCCTGGACAGAGAATATACATACACAGCAATTATTATATATATCAGCATCGTATAATAGGTCGTTTCATTATCGGCGACGGGGTCGCCCATTGGTTTGCCGGTAGACGATTTCGTCGAGGGTCTGGACAATCTATGTCTAATCACATCAATGCTGCACGAGGTCTTTTTCAGAACTTTTGATGGTGAGCAATGCTATGCTATTTTATATGGCGCACATAACCTAGTCACAATTATAACCTAAAGCTTCCCCCTTCGGGCATGCTGGATGAACGTGACGATTTTCTTTCTTAGACAAAAACTGATGATAAATAATGATGATAGGTCCCCCCCCCCCCCCCCCAAAGCCGCGACTCTCAGTCTCTAGCCCTTTCGCATAGGTCACCTAAGACCATCGGAAAACACATATTCATTGAAGTTATGAAGAAAAATTATTGTGTATGGGTCGCTAAAACATGGGGGAACTTTATTAAAGGGTCGCGGTATCAGGAAGGTCAGAGCCACTGCTTTAGCCAGTTCGCCTGCCTCGTTCGTTGTGTTCACGGAGCCTGGCAGGATCTAGGTCCAGTCTGGAACCGTTTCCTCTTCTGGTTCAGGGTATTTCCTGGTCAAGTTGCAAACCAAATGTCATGGTTAGTAGAAGCAGCAGGAGTGTCAGCATCAGGGGCGCTGACAAAAACAAAACAAGTGTGATGAGAGCAGTGGAGAAGGTGGGGGGGGGGGGGACCCTGAGCACCTTTACGAATTTACTGGTGGGGTGCCTCATTGGTGATGTGCTGTATAAATCTCATAGGTAATATTACTAACAACAACAACAACAACAACAACAACAACAACAACAACAACAACAACAACAATGTGGTAAACAGCAAATAAATCTAATAGTATGTTTGAAAAAAAAATATGTGTTAATGTATTATGGGTGGGATTGATCCCTACACATTTTTATTGAGTGATGAGAAGAGACAACAACAACAACAACAACAACAACAACAACAACAATGTGGTAAACAGCAAATAAATCTAATAGTATGTTTGAAAAAAAAATATGTGTTAATGTATTATGGGTGGGATTGATCCCTACACATTTTTATTGAGTGATGAGAAGAGGGGGGGGGGGGGGTGAGATTCGAGGTGTCTAATTCAAAAGGCACGGGCAACCCTAGGCAACAGTAACACAGAATGGGCATTGTCACATCGTCTCACATGCGTCTAAACCAGTGGTTCTCAACCTTTCTAATGCCGTCACCCTTTAAAACAGTTCCTCGTGTTGTGGTGACCCCCAGCCATACAATTATGTTCGATGTTACTTCATAATTTCAGTTAAGATGCGTTTCTTGAGCGACCACTGTGAATTTGTTGTTAGATCCCATAAAGGGGCCGCGACCCACCGATTGAGAATCGCTGGTTTCTACTGAACTCCACTTTGTTAAATAGTTGACGGAGTTCATAGCGATAGCAATACCTACATAAACCCAATACTGTAGCCCTTAAAGAATGCTTTAGCCCAGCTCTCTAGCGAAATTGGCTAAACCGGATTTCGCAGAGACCGGGTGACGTACTCCTTGTGGTCCGGGTTCAATCCCAGGGGTAGGCAAGAAAGCCACATTTTCTCCCAGATTGACGGTATTTACAATGGAATCAAGGCCGAAAGGTTGCGATATCCATAATACCGAGCCTAAGGGTTAACAACTCATGGCTTCTGGATACTAAAACAAACAAAGAATGCTTTACGAGGCGAGTGAGTTAATGTGAGGCTGACTGCCTAATAAGTAGAAAACAAATGCCGGTCAACAATGGATAAGTTTACAGTACAGAGGAATTAATTTAGGAAACATAAAGTGGGAGTGGGTGGGGTGTAGAAGACAAGAGGGGACGAAAATAATACTAATAATAATAATAGTAGTAGTAGTAGTAGTAGTAGTAGTAGTAGTAGTAGTAGTAGTAGTAGTAGTAGTAGTAGTAGTAGTAGCAGCAGCAGCAGCAGTAGTAGTAGTAGTAGTAGTAGTAGTAGTAGTAGTAGTAGTAGTAGTAGTAGTAGTAGTAGTAGTAGTAGTAGTAGTAGTAGTAGTAGTAGTAGTAGTAGTAGTAGTAGTAGTAGTAGTAGTAGTAGTAGTAGTAGTAGTAGTAGTAGTAGTAGTAGTAGTAGTAGCAGTAGATGATGAATACGATGATGATGACGATGAGGTCGATGAGGATGATGATGATAAAAAAAGAATGGGACAGAGAAGCAGGGGCAAAGGGGAAGAGGAGAAGTATATTAAAATGGAGAAGGAGTTGAAAAATGTAATCGTGTTTTCGATATCCATTTTTGTTATTTCCTTCAATAAGACATTGTAACTTGAATCAGGTGACTAGAGGCAAGACAGAAGAAACTCCAAGATGGCAAAGCTGCCTCAGTAGTACATCGTCTGCTTTCTGGAAGGGGATGTCCAAACAGTTTGTAACCAGGACGTTTTCAGAGACGGCCAAAAATTATGTAAGTGTTTTACTACGTTTAGTTCGCTACATAAATTAGACATTCTACTGGAAGGAGTAACAGTGTTGTCCGCTGTTTCCTTTTTAATGCGTAAATGCTTGCATACACACTCATACACATACTCATATACACACACGCGCACACATACATACATACATACATACATACATACATACATACATACATACATACATACATACATACATACATACATACATACATACATACATACATACATACATACATACATACATACATACATACATACATACATACATACATACATACATACATGCATGCATGCATGCATGCATGCATGCATGCATGCATGCATGCATGCATACATACATACATACATACATACATACATACATACATACATACATACATACATACATACATACATACATACATACATACATACATACATACATACATACATACATGCATGCATGCATGCATGCATACATACATACATACATACATACATACATACATACATACATACATACATACATACATACATACATACATACATACATACATACATACATACATACATACATACATACATACATACATACATACATACATACATACATACATACATACATACATACATGCATGCATGCATGCATGCATGCGGGCGGGCGGGCGGGCGGGCGGGCGGGCGGGCGGGCGGGCGGGCGGACCGACCGACCGACCGACCGACCGACCGACCGACCGACCGACCGACCGACCGACCGACGGACGGACGGACGGACGGACGGACGGACGGACGGACGGACGGACGGACGGACGGACAGACAGACAGACAGACAGACAGACAGACAGACAGACAGACAGACAGACAGACAGACAGACAGACAGACAGACAGACATTGAAAGATTGATGAATGTGTGAAGGGATGGTTTGACGTATGGATGAGTAGGTGGATGAATGGTTGGATGTATGGATGGTTGGATGGATGGATGGATGGATGGATGGATGGATGGATGGATGGATGGATGGATGGATGGATGGATGGATGGATGGATGGATGGATGGATGGATGGATGGATGGATGGATGGATGGGTGCGAAGGTGAATGAATAAACTAATAACTGTATTTATGAATTTTCGATTTTTTTTAATTAGGTGGAGGAAATGATTGACAACCTGAAGACATCTTTTCACCAGATCATCGAAGAAATCACTTGGATGGCACCGCCTACCAAACAAGCAGCCTATACGAAGGTTTGTGTACTTGCAGTTCTATTTCTTGCCTCCCTGCCCGAAGATCGTGGGGTTTAATCCGCTTCGGTGTTTGTTGTTTAAATAATCGGACTCACACGTCATCATAGCTCAAAATGGGTATGGGGAAATGTCCGTGGAGTTAAAGGGAGTGTACATGATGGCTGGGGAAATAAACGCGGCTGGTGGATAAACAATTAATTTGTTGACCGGGTGCAACAATTTGATATTCGCCCACAAAAGCAAACAGCCGTTTGGCCACTGATGCTTTTGCAAGTTATCTGGTTCCACATAGGTTTTAGCTGATGCTAATTCCCCATTTCTGTAACGAAAGTGCAAAGGTTCCATCGCCCAGCTATTTAAGTTCTTGATGTTACACAGTGAGCTAAAGATTTCATTTCAGCGGTTTTATATATATATATATATATATATATATATATATATATATATATATATATATATATATATATATATATATATATAGTGCCAGCGGCCTGTTGTTGACTGCTTTAAAATGTCATGTGGACGACTGTGCTAAGATTGGCAAAATCTCAGAACCTGCACGGGAAGTTTTAATGTACATTTTAAATTAAATATTCTATCACAAAAGCATAAAATTATAATATAGCTGACATGTTCAATGGTTGGTCTAAATTGTCTTATTTTAAATCAATTATTTGTTTGCCCTAGCTCGCCGCCATGACTTTCAAGATTGGCTATCCAGACGCAAACTTCACACATCAAGAGATTGAAACAAAGTATGAACAAGTAAGTTGGTGGTTAGAAACTTCTTCTTCTTCCTTCTTTCCGTAAATATATTTCTACATCCTTACAAACTGTCTTACCTATTTTTCCTCTCTTTTTACCTTACAGCGTCAGGTTTTGAAGAAGCATCTGCTTGAGCTGTGGTGTGGTTTCCATAGATGTCAGTATTTACCACCTCCGATATTTCATCGATCCATTGCTTGCGTAGGCGACCTCTAGATTTGTTTCCGTTGCGTTTTGATGACAGGACTCTCTGTGGTGTATTGTTTCGCTGTAGCTTGACACATTTCTGAACCATCTGATCAGACATTTCTTCAAGTTCTCTAGCATTAGTTCCATTCCAAGTTTTTTAATGACATCGTAATTTTTTATGCTGTCTTTAACTCCCTTGTTATTTATGCATGCTGTGTATGGCGGGGAAAAGAGGGGGGGAGGGGAGGGGGTGACAATGGATTTTAGAAAGAGAGCATGTCCAAGAGAAAACTCGAGACAAAGAGTAGTGAGAAAAACGAGATGTGTCAAAGTGTATTTTAGGTATGAGTAATATCGAAAGGATGGCTTATGATAAAGCGATATGGAGGAATCGTATGTGAACCCTAGAAGCGGTATAACTAATGCAACAGAACGGTGGTTATATAGGGATTATGAGTAACTGCATGCTCACCCACGCTGAACTACGTGTTTTATCGTAACAGTTTTGTGGAGCCCTAGTATACCTAGAGGGTTGAAGGGGATCTCGAAGATTTCTACCGGTTTGATTCTCATCTTTGAGATGTTAAACCTGCAGACTGTAATCCTGGAAGGGAAAAACTGAAGCCCAAAAAAAAAGAGGAAAAGGGGGGGGGGGGGAGGGAGTGTCATGTAAACTCTCATCGCCATAACATTTGCCACGAACTGTGCCGGTTATGAATGTTTTAACTGACAAAGTCCCATCATCTTTCACGAGGCTACTGTTATCTTACACAGACGCAATGCTTTTACTAGCTCCGCAATAATTCAGTCACCTCTTCAACAGTACCAGATGCAGGAAGACAACTACTACAGCAATTGGAACCTCATCCTGACACTGTCCAGAATCGATTCCATAACCTCCTTCAGAAAACCCGTGGATAAGAATGAGTAAGTATTCTTCATTTCAATATTTTGTGGAAAATAGTTGCTGCTGCTGCTGCTACTTTTGCTGCTGCTGCTACAATAACAACATGAACAACAAAGAAGCTACTACTACATTTGCTGCTGCTGCTACAATAACAACATGAACAACAAAGAAGCTACTACTACTTTTGCTGCTGCTGCTGCTACAATAACAACATGAACAACAACGAAGCTACTACTACTTTTGCTGCTGCTGCTACAATAACAACATGAACAACAAAGAAGCTACTACTACTTTTGCTGCTGCTGCTACAATAACAACACGAACAACAACGAAGCTACTACTACTTTTGCTGCTGCTACTGCTACAATAACAACATGAACAACAACGAAGCTACTACTACTTTTGCTGCTGCTGCTGCTACAATAACAACATGAACAACAACGAAGCTACTACTACTTTTGCTGCTGCTACTGCTACAATAACAACATGAACAACAACGAAGCTACTACTACTTTTGCTGCTGCTGCTACAATAACAACATGAACAACAACGAAGCTACTACTACTTTTGCTGCTGCTGCTACAATAACAACATGAACAACAAAGAAGCTACTACTACTTTTGCTGCTGCTGCTACAATAACAACATGAACAACAACGAAGCTACTACTACTTTTGCTGCTGCTGCTACAATAACAACATGAACAACAACGAAGCTACTACTACTTTTGCTGCTGCTGCTACAATAACAACATGAACAACAAAGAAGCTACTACTACTTTTGCTGCTGCTGCTACAATAACAACATGAACAACAAAGAAGCTACTACTTCTTTTGCTGCTGCTACTGCTACAATAACAACATGAACAACAACGAAGCTACTACTACTTTTGCTGCTGCTGCTACAATAACAACATGAACAACAAAGAAGCTTCTACTACTTTTGCTGCTGCTGCTACAATAACAACATGAACAACAACGAAGCTACTACTACTTTTGCTGCTGCTGCTGCTACAATAACAACATGAAGAACAACAAAGCTACTACTACTTTTGCTGCTGCTGCTACAATAACAACATGAACAACAAAGAAGCTACTACTACTTTTGCTGCTGCTGCTACAATAACAACATGAACAACAACGAAGCTACTACTACTTTTGAACAACAAAGAAAAAAGCTTGCTGCTGCTGCTACAATAACAACATGAACAACAAAGAAGCTACTACTACTTTTGCTGCTGCTGCTACAATAACAACATGAACAACAACGAAGCTACTACTACTTTTGCTGCTGCTGCTGCTACAATAACAACTTGAACAACAACGAAGCTACTACTACTTTTGCTGCTGCTGCTGCTACAATAACAACAAAGAAGCTACTACTACTTTTGCTGCTGCTGCTACAATAACAACAACGAACAACAACGAAGCTACTACTACTTTTGCTGCTGCTGCTACAATAACACCATGAACAACAACGAAGCTACTACTACTTTTGCTGCTGCTGCTACAATAACAACATGAACAACAAAGAAGCTACTACTACTTTTGCTGCTGCTGCTACAATAACAACATGAACAACAAAGAAGCTACTACTACTTTTGCTGCTGCTGCTACAATAACACCATGAACAACAACGAAGCTACTACTACTTTTGCTGCTGCTGCTACAATAACAACATGAACAACAAAGAAGCTACTACTACTTTTGCTGCTGCTGCTACAATAACAACATGAACAACAAAGAAGCTACTACTACTTTTGCTGCTGCTGCTACAATAACAACATGAACAACAAAGAAGCTACTACTACTTTTGCTGCTGCTGCTGCTACAATAACAACATGAACAACAAAGAAGCTACTACTACTTTTGCTGCTGCTGCTGCAATTCCAACATGAACAACAAAGAAGCTACTACTACTTTTGCTGCTGCTGCTACAATAACAACATGAACGACAACGAAGCTACTACTACTTTTGCTGCTGCTGCTACAATAACAACATGAACAACAAAGAAGCTACTACTACTTTTGCTGCTGCTGATACTGTTACTGTTACTACTACTGTTGCTGTAACAACAATTAATACTACTATTACTTCTATACTCTGTTGCTACTAGTTCTGGTTTTGCTTTTTTTTTTTTTTTCTGTATCACCATCGTCCTCATCAACTTCTTCTTCTTTGTCTTCTTTGTCTGCTATACTAAGATGTATTTAATCTTATTATTGGATCATTTTCCAACAGCTGACTCATTCTCTGTATGTTACAGTGCTACTGTTCTGTCCTTACCTTTAAAAAAATCAGAAACACAAAAGGGCAAGCTTACAGTCAGTACCCAGAAACATTCTGCAAACTAAAAACGATCGATATAATATTGGCTTACAGTCGGTACCCAGAAACTTTCTGCAAACTAAAAACGATCGATATAATATTGGCTTACAGTCGGTACCCAGAAACTTTCTGCAAACTTCAAGCCATCGATATAATATTGACAGAATCTTCCCAACGGTGCAAATTATTCGATAAAAATAGGGGCCTTGCATGGTGATCTCAATGATTCTAAAAGAGTGGCTAATGCCAGTTTACTTTTACTACAGGATGGCTGAGTGGTCTCTAGGCACGGCGTCTGCCTCGAGTACTGGGGGTCCGGGTTTCTAGCCCCGGTGAAGGCTGGGGTTTTTTTTTTTACGTGGACTTCTAGTAATTCTTCTAGGTCTCATGGTAGTAAGATAGGACGCCCGTGTGTATTCTTGCGGACGTTCTACCCAAACTATATTACAGGACCCTCGCCGGTGCCAGGGAGTTCGTGAACTGCGCTGAGATTCTTCGGACTCAGGCTTGAGTTAGAAGTAGAGCTGAGCACTTATAGGTGTCATGTAAACCCTTTGTGCCATGATGTTGATCTGATGTATAAATCATAAACCTAGTGTACCTTATAATGTAGCTCTAATTATTCTGTATTTTAAAAAAAAGTCAAGGACCCTTTTCCGCGCCTTTAGACGTATAGGGCATATAGGCCTAGACCTATATTTTTATAGACCAAATCAGCACAATATTGGTGATGCATCACGCCAGCCGCTTCTTCTTACCGGGACTGCACCCGGTACCCCCTCAAGGCTGGGTCGACCTGGGAGCCAAGGTCATTTTTGAAAAAAGTCCGGCTCCGCCAGGGAGCGAACCCTGGGCCTTCCGATCCACGGCAAGCGTCTAGCCGCTTCGCCACAGCGACTCCCTTAATTCTGTATTACTTTTCTGTTATTTAACCTCGGTCTACTTTAGCGTACTTTATCCTTTACTATGATAATTTCTATTTTAACTTGACTTTTATTACTATCCATTGCTTGAACCTCATTTCACTTTATTACACTTTATTTCACTTTATTACCCGTTGCTTCAGTTTACTTCAGTTTACTTCATTTCATTTTGCTTCACTTCATTTCACTATGTTATACTGTACTTTGCTTCAATTCAGTTCACATTATTAAACATTGTTTCACTTTATCACCCTTTGCTTCACTTTACTTTGCTTCATTCACTTCATTACAATTTGCTTCACTTCAGTTCGCTTTATTACACTTTTTTTTTTGCTTCACTTCAGTTCACTTTATTACACTTTGCCTCACCTTAACTACTTTTATTACACTTTACTTAACCTTCAGTTCACTTTATTACACTCTGCTTCCGTTTATTACACTTTGCTTCATCCTCTGTTCCCTTTATTACACTTTACTTCACCTTCAGTTTACTTTATTACACTTTCTTCACCTTCAGTTTACTTTATTACACTTCGCTTCACTTCACTTCACATACCTTTACAAAAATGTATTTTACTTTACTTCACATTACTTTTTTATACTTTGCTTTTCTTTACCTACATAGACTATGCCCTTTTCATTAAAGCTATACCGTAGTTTAAATTTTGTTGTTGTACTTCATTGTTGTTGTAATTCATTGTTGTTGTCATTCATTGTTGTTGTCATTCATTGTTGTTGTAATTCATTGTTGATGTAATTCATTGTTGTTGTAATTGGTTGGATCTGCACCACTGGGTGGTGAATTGATACCTAACAAAGCAGAAGTGGTCAAGGTTCTTTGAGAACAATCAACGGAATCAGTTGAGATAGAAGATTATTATACCCTGGAAAGAATGAGACATCTGGGCCGGCACACTACACTCAGAGGAAAGGCAAGACGGATATATAACCAGATTGTGACCGGTACCATCAGTACTGGAACTCTGCGCTGGCTGCTGAAGATGAGGACGAAGCATGCAGGGGAATGCCCAGAGTGCTGTGATGTCAATTCTTGACTAAACTCAACTCAAATGTTGTAATTCATATAATACATTATAAGATAACCTCATCCCCAACAGGTGGAGAATGCCCCCTCATGACGTCAATGCCTACTACTCTGTGTCGGAAAATGAAATAGGTAAGTAATTCGACAAATGCAACACACGTTTACATTTGATTTGATTCATCCAGGACGGGTACGGCGACACAGATAAGAAATTTCCAGGAACAGTAAGTGAAAACTTAATAATAACAAGAGCAACTAAAAAGAAGAAGAAGAAGAAGAAAAAGAAAAAGAAAAAGAAGAAGAAGAAGAAGAAGAAGAAGAAGAAGAAGAAGAAGAAGAAGAAGAAGAAGAAGAAGAAGAAGAAGAAGAAGAAGAAGAAGAAGAACAAGAACAAGAACAAGAACAAGAACAAGAACAAGAAGAAGAAGAAGAAGAAGAAGAAGAAGAAGAAGAAGAAGAAGAACAAGAAGAAAAAGAAGAAGAAGAACAAGAACAAGAAGAACAAGAAGAAGAAGAAGAAGAAGAAGAAGAAGAAGAAGAAGAAAGAAGAAGAAGAAGAAGAAGAAGAAGAAGAGAAGAAGAAGAAGAAGAAGAAGAAGAAGAAGAAGAAGAAGAAGAAGAAGAAGAAGAAGAAGAAGAAGAAGAAGAAGAAGAAGAAGAAGAAGAAGAAGAAGAAGAAGAAGAAGAAGAAGAAGAAGAAGAAGAAGAAGAAGAAGAAAAAGAAATATAAGAAGCAGAAGCAGAAGCAGTGGTGAATTGCTGCATGACAAGTTAGATGTTATAATTGCCCTAGTGAACAGTGTTGAGGTGTTGAGAAGAATGGTACTGCGAGGAGTAACCAGGGAATCTGGCAAACGCTCAACTTTCAAAACGGTATGCAGTCAGACCGTTGCTGGTACTAACGGATTTTGAACTCTGGGCTTACTGCTGAAGATGTGTTAGAGCACTAATAGAAATTTACCGAGTGCTGTGATGTCGATTCTTAATTCAGTATTCAACTTTCAACACAATATTTATGTTTCTTTCTACTTTTCAGCCTTCCTTGCGGGAATACTGCAGCCTCCGGTTTTCTCACAAGCATTTCCCGAGTAGGTTGACGTTCATTTGATATATTTGTAATGTCTGTGTGGGTTCTGGGGCTTCGTGTGAGGATACAAGAATAGACTCACTGCCTCCCCAGCAAGCACTATTTGGGGGCATCCTTCAATGTCGGAGTGCATCAACCCGACAAGCAAAAAGCCACATATCTACATACACATCAGTCAGGTCTGTAAAATGGATGTGCACGCAACACTCAAGCTCTGGAACATTGCTAAATTCCGGAGGCGGACAAACAACCAGAACTTTACTAAAGTCCAGAGTTAGACAAACAACCAGAACTTTAATAAAGTCCGGAGGAGAACAAACAACCAGAACTTTACGCCGGAGTTTACAACTGGTGAACGCCAAGAAAAAGAAGATATATTTGTTTTTACCTCCTCCCCCCCCCCCCCCCTTTTGTGCCCAAATAAGTTTGTTCTATATCAGATACTGGGGAGCCGTCGTGATGTAGCGGCTAGCCGATCACCTGTGGATCGGAAGGTCGAAGGTTTCAAAAATTACTTGGCTCCCAGGTCGACCCAGCCTTAAATGGGTACTAGGTAAAAGTCTAGGAAAGTAAATGCAGCCGGCATGAGGCTGACAACATCACCCACAAAGTGCCGATTGGTACGCTCAAAACATCCAAACACATGGGAAATTGTCCTTCGTAAAAGATACTGTAGTAGCGGTGAAAAGCGGTACGCGATGCCTGTCACATGTGAGAAGTCTTGGGCTTTTACGCCTCAGGCTGGAGTTATAATCGTGAAGCAAGATTCGGGTGCTGTTGCCTTGACCACAAGTAGTCTGACTATGGCGGTCATGAATGACAGTGACCAAAGCAATAACATGGCTGGAGACACAGACCTTTTCCCGCGCATGCTTTCTCAGTGACTCAGTGAGTATGCTCAGGAAGTCAGAGAAGGGTTGGACTCAAAGACAGTTGCAGAAGTCTCTAAAGCGGTCGGGGCTGACACATATAAGTTTCATATTTGTGTCCAGGCACGCAAGCGTGCAAGGAAATAAGCAAGCTGATCGGCTGGCAGTAAAGCTACTTTGGAAGTCGGACAAGCCAGGGATCATCTGATATTATCTGCTCTTCGAGGGCTAAGAAGTTTTCGAGAACCAAGTGACGACAGTGAATCTGCAACCATGACCAGACTGCCAAAACTGCATATTAAAAGGGGTGTGGCCAGACAAGAGCACTCTGCAGGAAGCCAAAGTAGAATAAGAAACCAACACAGAACTGGTTTTGTAAGGCGTTACAGGCTGCTGGATTTACTAAGGAGGCGATCAGAGCACTTGTGGTCTAAATGATTCGATGTGCAATGAGGGTAACTAACTAACTAACTAACTAACTAACATGTATGGCACATTGGACATATAGCTTGGAGCCTTCATAATCTCCGTAGTCAGGTGTACATCCTTTAAAGTCTGCATCAAACTGGGTAGAGAATGCAGACGAACACAACCTGTTGGTCGTTGAGGCAGAGGTTGAAGTCTTAATTCTTGAGCTATTGCTGAGGGAGGTGCAGTTATTTACACCGATAGATCTGTGGTCGTTCGTCACCTCCAGAACTCATGTTTTTTTTTTTTTTTTTTTCTGGTTCTTTTTCTGTGGCACACTGTAAAAGAATACAGCGGTGATTTTGTCTCGGCTACAGATAGTCTGACTATGGAGGCGATGGCGGTGCAAAAGCGCTGACGTGGCTAAAGACAAATAATTTTTCCCATGCATACTTTCTGAGTGATTCCATGAACATGCATAAGACGACTGAGTCAGGATGGATTCGGAGACAAATGGTTGGAGTGGCTGAGGAAATCACCTCTGACAGGAATAAGTTCCCTTTTCTGGGGTAAGATGGAATGATCAAGCGGATTGGCTTGCTGGCAGGGCTACACTATGCAATGAAAAATCAATAGACTGGGCCGACATTCTCAATGCTTTTAGGGAGGCAGGACAGAAAGATGATTCAAGAGACGACGAAACAGCAATACTTAAAAGACTGCAAGAGCTTGAGGGCACAAGAGGCGTCACCAGACATGAACACTAAACAGGTAGCAACAGAGGAATAGTACACCAACACAGAACTGGGGTTATCAGCTGCCACAAGCTGAGATATATACTGAAGATCGGATCCGAGCGCTAATAGGCTCGTCCAATGCGCATTAAGGACAGCATGTCGATTAACTAACAAGTCAGATTAGTTGTAATCGAGACATCTTCACTTTTTGACAGACACCCCCATCCGAATAAATGACTAAATAACAAATAACAAACGGATGTCAGCTGCAATGAGAAAGCAAGTGTTAAAGAGATATAAAGAGGGACAGCCTTTTGTGTAAACAAATGCATTTGTCCTCTTCTTCTTCTTTTCCACCTTGTACCTCAGTGGAATGTCGGGGAGGGGGGGGGGGGTGTAACGTTTGTTGCTGGGCTCTGTCAAAAGCACTATTAAGTTCGATGTTAATTTCTGTAAGGCTGTTCTATATTTTCCAAGGTCTTTCGCTCGCTGTATACTCGTTGTAACGTTTCAGTGAGGCTCTCTTAGTAGACAGTACCAGGGCGTTCTTGTTAGGTGTCCAAACCACTTCATTTGTTATTATTTGATGACCTGTATGCATGTGTACAACTCTTGTTTATTTATGGCTTCTATCTCACCCAGTTATATCAATTATGGCGCTATTGGCATGGTCATTGGCCATGAGATTACCCACGGCTTTGACAGTCAAGGTAAGAAACCTACAGTGTTTTAATCATATTTAATCATGTTTTTTTTAGTTGTGTATCCTTTACATAACGTTGCAGAACCAACACCAACATTAGCTGTTGTGGTTTTTCTAGGCAACCTACGTCCAGTAGGTTGCCATTGCTTTCTTGACGGTCGGCTTCTTGATACCATTGTCGAAACCAACGCAAGGCCCGTATCTGGGATTGAACCCGGTACCCCGGCATTACAAAGCGCGTGCGCAATGCCCTAGCCACAGACGACGACATTTAATACAGTTACTGCTTAGAATAATTTTAAAAATGTATAAATGTAAAAATTTTACAGGAATATCATTACTATCTAAAAGCTATAAGATACTATCGGTGGTATTGCTAAATATACTAAAACCATACATCGAAGATATATTGGGAGATTATCAAGCGGGTTTCTTGACTACCAGGTCGACTTAGCCTTGAGTGAGTGCCAGGTGCCGTCCTGGGAAGTAAATGCGGCCGACGTGATGCTGACCCCCATCATCCACCAAGTGCCGATTGGCCCATAAAAATATAGGTCTAGCCCTGTATTCTCAATACGCATAAAGGCGTGGAAAGGGGACCTTTACTTTATTTTACTTACCAAGCGGGTTTCGAAAAGAAAAGATCAACGATAGATCAGAAATTCATTGTACAGCAAATAGCCGACACAATTTGGAATTTGAAAGAAATATACATAATGTTTATATGGATTTTAAAAAGTCGTATGATAGTGCACACAGAAACAGTTATGGAATGCTATGAAGGACTTTGGAATACCAAAGAAGTTAATAACCATGACCAAACTATGTATGGAAGACACTTGTATGTAATATAGTAACATACAAAGGCAGAAAGTCAGACCCTTTTCAAATAACATCAGGTTTAAAGCAAGGTGAAGCTCTGCCTCCACTTTTGTTCAACTTGACCCTGGATAAAATTATAAGGAAATTTAAACAAGAGAAACTACAAGAATACTTGGTTATGCAGATGACATTGATATTGCGTATAAAATTATATCTCTAGCTAAAACATTCGATTCTTTCGCTGTCTCTAGTATTTATCTCTCACATTAAAGAAATAACAACAAATTTAATATCTTAGTCATCTTTTTTTCAAAATCAGGTCTATATAGGGTGTATTTTTAATGGCTGTCTTTTTTTTTCAATGGTTAACTCCGTTATAGGTAAGATCAGTTACTAAAATATCAATATGCCTGTATAGCAGTGATATTTTAAACTAACGGTTACATGACGCTTGAAATATTAAGTAATATACAAATTTTAAAAAGATTTTTAAAAGTCTACAGTCCTAACACATACTCCCTATACATCAACAGCCCCCAGCACAAAGTTCCCCCCCCCCCCCCAACTCCCTCTTTCACGTCAGATTCGTACATTACAGATACTCCCTTCCCTCATCCTCAGCTATTTTCCTATAAATTTGGGGGGTGCCTAGTTGACCATGTTCTCAAAGCACTTGTATCCATGACGAGGCGCACACGCCGTCTGGATGTGACAGGTTAAATTCCCGGCACGGTAACTAAAGCTTTCGATTTTTATGTTGTCTAGTGTGTTCTTCTATCTTTCTACTTCTTTCTATAAGTGCCGATCAATACACACTTTCTGTTACTTGACTAATTCAGTTATTTTCCGTGTATCAGATGTGTATGTGTGTATGTCAGTAAATGCATATTACTGTGTTCTTCGACCCAACACAAACAGGAAGTCAGTTTGACAGCAATGGTAACTTGGTCAACTGGTGGCAGCCGTCAGATCTTGAGGTCTTCCAACAGAAAGCTCAGTGTATTCGCGATCAGTGCTCCAGCTTTCGTATGGACGAGATCAACATGACCGTAACGTTATATTTTTGTATTTTATATGTTAATTTAGTCGTAAAATCTGAAGATGCAGTTGTTAATTCGAAATAATTAGCTAAACAGGTCCACACATCCAGTGAGTCTTCAGAGATTGGTTTATACAGAAGAGTTGTTGCAGTTCCTTAAACAGCAACAATTAGTAATCAAGAAGAGGTTTAGTAGTAGTAGTAGTACTTTTACTCCTCTAGGACATCACGCATGCGATAAACTCCGAATGACAAAAAATCCCACCAGGCGGATGAGGATCACCCGTGGAGAGGTCCCAGAAACCGCGTTCAGCCATTAGGCCATATTTATGGCGTGGCTATATTGCGGCCCCTGGCCAAAGCCAGTGTAGTGCTTTAAAAAAAAAACTAAAAATTGCATTTTCCAGGGGGATGATTATAATTATACCAAAGAGGTTTAGACATAAAGACAGCTTATGAAAAACATCGAAAAGCAGCAGTCCTTTCATTGGTTGACCCTACTGTGAAAAGAGATGAACTGGAACATTAATCAAGTCTGAATATTTTTTTAAAAGGAGGGGCAGAGAAAGGCAGCTAGAAAAAATTGTAAACGTCGTTTTGACATGGCTTATTGATTTATACCATTAGAGATTACATACCTAACACAACATAACCCTTGACCCTTTAGGGTCGTGGAGGTGTACTGATGGAAGCACTAGCACATAAAACCCGCAATCTTTCTCTGTCTTCTGCTTGATGAATAAGTGTATGATAACTTAGTCCTGTCCATTTCTTGATGTTGCCATTCCAGGTTCTTCTTTGCCCTTCTCTTCTTTGACTATCCCCCAAATGTCCATGGAAGTTCAGTCTTTACAATCGAATAATGTCTTAAGACGTGCCCAAACCAAGCATGCTTGCGACGTTTCGCCACTGCCAAGAGAGGCTCCTGATACCCGCAAATTTGTATATTATGTCTCTGACATATTTATTAGTTTGCGTTCTAAATAACTACAGTAGAACCTTGCTTAACGAGCACCTCTTATAACGAGTAATTCGCATAACGAGCAAAATACAGATTGTAAAAGAATGACTTACTTTACGAGCGACGTTTCGCATAACGAGTGGCGAGGAGAGGGGAAGTCCCGGATTGTGCGCATGTTACATCGGTCTGTATTTAGCACTCTTTCCAATAGCATCTTAGTGTCGCTTGTGATCACACATTTTCTCAAACTTGTGTTATATTGTGATATATGTACATGAATCCTCCAGGCCTAAAGGATGACCTCCCTAAAGAATTTAAGTTCATCAAGATCAAGTTTCTGCCTCCCAACACCACTTCGTTACTCCAGCCCATGGACCAGAAAGTTATTTCTAACTTTAAGAAGCTCTACACTAAAGCACTCTTCGAGCATTGTTTTCAGGTGACTGAAGGGACCAACCTCACTCTCAAAGAGTTTTGGTAAAATCACATCCACATCGTTGCCTGTCTCAAGATGACTTGAAGAGGGGGAATGGGTTACCAAGAGAACCTTAACTTCTGCTTGGAAGAAGCTTTGGAAGGAGAGCCTTGTCGATTTGCGACTTTGAGGGGTTTGAGACAGCACCTGTGGAACCTGTAGTCAACGAGATTGTGTCTATCATGGGATTGTAGGTGGATAACAGTGATATCGAAGAGCTTGTGGAAGAGCACAGCCAAGAGCTGACCACCAATGAGCTTGTGTGGTAGCATTTCGTTTCACAACAAGAAGTTTTGGAGGAAAGTTTGTCAGAGGAGGAGGAGGAGGTAACAGAAAAGCAACAATCTTCTGGCGAAATAAGAGAAATGCTGAAAGAATGGGAAACTGTTGCATCTTACACTGAGAAGCATCACCCTAATGAAAAAGTGGCTGTGCGCACTGCAAATTTATTTGATGATAATGCTGTGTCGCATTTTTGCCAAATTTTGAAGCCTCGGAAAAAACAAATGTCTCTTGAAATCTTTCTAGTAAAAAAAAATAATTAGCTATATATCATAATTATTTCGACGTTTTTTTTTTTCTTTTCTGCATATCGAATTCGCATTCCAGATGTGTTCGTTCCGCGGTGAAAGAAAAGATGAAGATGATTCACTCTCCTTAACAATATGTATATTATTTTCTTTGAATAAACGTTATACATAACATTGTGTGAGTATTTTTTTCGACATGGAACGCATTATCGTATTTTACATTAATTTATATGAGAACAATTGTTTCGCATAACGAGTGTTTCGCTTTACGAGTATAATTTTGGAACAAATTATGATCGTTAAGCGAGGTTCTACTGTAATTAGAAAAATGAGATCACAACACATCTAGAAACATGAACATCCATGCCAGTGAAACCCAACATAGCAATACAAAAGAAGCCGAGGTGGAGAAGCAGCTGGCCTCTTGCGTCTTCTTCTTCCTCTAGTCCTGTAGAGCATCTCAGCATCAGGTTTTGAAGGGGCATCGATTGTGAACCTTGGTATGCGCTACGTAGAGATTTCTATTTACGACCTCGGATATTTCATCTGCCCCTCTCTTTGTTTGGAGCAGAAACATGGAGAACAACCAAGGCAATTACACATAAACTGGAGACATTCATTAACTAGTGCCTGCGCAGAATAGAGGGACTCAAATGGTATTATAGAATCACTTATGTAGAGCTGTGGGAGAAAATTAAGCAAGCTTCAGTGGACCAAGAGGTTGGATAGGACACACATTGAGAAAACCAGAGAACAATATAATTAGAATGTCTTGCACTGGAACCCACAGGGGAATAGGAATAAAGGAAGGCCAAAAACATGTGGAGAAAGGAGATGGAAATGAAGTTAAAAGATGGGGAGGACTTGGGGAGAGCTGCATGCAATGGCAAAGGATAGAACGACACGGCGTGAGTTGGTTCAGGGCCTATGCTCCATTGGGGGCTAGAAAGGCAGAAGAAGATCTCTAGCGTAGACAACCTCTAGGTCTGTTTCTATTGTATCTTGGTGACAGGGCTCACTTTGGTGCACTATCTGGTGGTTATCTTGACACACGTTTGACTCACTGAATCTGCTGTCTCATGATGATGTTGTTGTTGTTGTTGTTATTTGTTGTTTAGTACTAATTCCTCACGAGTTTCATGATATCCTCATTTCTGATCATGTCTCTTCTAGTTAACATTCGGATTCGCCGTAAATAAAATTATGTTTCTGTTCTTTGGATTTTTTTATTTTTGTTTCTGTTGTTAATGCCCACGTTTCGTTTGGCACTTGTAACACCGCGCTAGTTTATCTATATTAAATAGTTGCGTTTTTTAGTCCGCAGGTCCTAGGTCAAAATCCTCACTGAGATCTTTAAAAAAAAATAATTTGTGTTCCTAGCTCGTCAAAACCTGAAATCAAAAAGGATAATGTCTTGAGAAGTAAAGGCGGCCTTAAATGTTGACCCAATTACAATCTAGTGCCGAATGGTTTATAAAATTATGGGTCTAGAGAAATATGTGATCAATGCAACACTGGTACGAAAATTGTCAATTTTTTTTTTTAAACTCTGTCTTCTTCTTCTGCTCTTATCCCCACAGTGGAGCCTAGTTCCTCAGCCAACTCTCGCGAAGTCGTCCTATTCTTTGCTATCGTTTGCAAATCACTCCCTGTCCTTCCCATCTTTCTGACTTCACTCTCAATTTCCATTAACCGTCAGTTTCTACTCTGCCTTTATTTATATGACCCTGTTGGCTGGTTCCGGGCAGAGTCCTTTTAGTTATATTGCTCTAAGGTTTTCTCCGCGGGTGTTCTATCCAACGTCAGCGTCTTTTTTTTCCCCCTCTCTTGATTCTCTGAATTTTGTTTCGGTCTGTCTAAAAGTTCAACATTAGTGATGATATCGTACAATTTAATTATATCTGTTTTTCGCAAGCACCACTTGATAAATTTTATATTTTAATCTGTTTAAATTGTTCCTTATGTTTCCCCTGCGTACAGCAGTATTTATTTCGCATTAGAGTTAACTATTTTAGTTTAGTATTAGTTTTAATTTCATTTGACTTTTATAAGTTTCTTAGAGCTATCAAAACTCTTACATTTTGTATTTTTATATAATATATAATGTCCACAAAAATAAAACTGGCTGTCACCCAAAAATAACAATAAATAATGAAAAAATTGAAAATGTCACAAACTCTGAATGTCTAGGCTCTAAAATAAATAGCAATGGAGACTGTCAGAAATTAAAACCAGGATGGCCATATCAATGCAAATATAAAACAGCCTAAAGAGTCTATGGTTACGCACCAGCAAGGAGATGAAAATTAAAATTTTGAGAGCGTGCATCTTCCCTGCAATACGGATGTGAGTCGTGGACTATCTCCCAGTACTTAAGAAAGAGAATATGGGCTTTTGGTCTGAAATGCTATAGAAAGATTCTAAGAATATCTTTGACAGAGAAGAAGAGACATACTGACATCTTAAAAGATCTTAACAGCATCCCGTCTCGGAAGCTGAAATATTTTGGTCATATCAAGCGCCACGACGGATTGGAAAAAGTTATAGTAGAAGGCATAGTGCCAGTAAGGAGGGGCAGGGGCCGACCAACACGAAGATGGGCACAGGATATGACATCCTGAGTATGAAAATACATGGGACGGGAGAGCTGTCGAGAGACCGAGTTTCTTTCAGGCAGGCCTTGATGAGAGCGACGTTCTGCAAAGGACCTACTACAGGATGATATAATATATGCATTAATTTCCATAGCTCTGTCTACATTACCTTCTAAATAGATAGATGCCTCCACATCTTGGAGTTGGAACTGACCAAGAGAAAATGGGATGCTATTTGCCTGGTTTAGTCTCATTATGCCTGGGAAGAGAGGAAGAGGAAGAGGAAGGCCAAAAATAGGATGGGTGCAGGATGTGGTGGATGATCTCCGCAGGGGTGTATCGGACGCGGGACATCTTGCTTGTGATCGAGAAGTTTTCCAGAGGGTTGTTACTGGAGCAGGATTCTGCAAAGGTCATGCTACTGACTGACTGACCGAGTCTCATTATCTTTGTCTTTTTACATTTCTTGCTATCTCATAGATCACATATCAGTTTGCGTTGTCACCTCTTCGTACAATGATACAACGTTGTCGAGAATTCTCTTCATTATCTTCTTCTTCTTCTTTTTTTTTTTTTATGTGCATAAAACCTTTCCTGTAGTCATGCGTTCTATTTTTGCTTCTTTACCTGATATCAAAGAATGATGACTGCCTTTAAAAAAATCACTCTTTTTATCACAGCTTAACGGAGTAAACATTCACAGAGAAAGCATAGCGGACAACGGTGGACTCAAGGAAAGCTTCGGGTATGTATCTATAACAGTGTCGAGGCGTGATAAGTTCGCACTAGGAAGCGTATTCAGTTACACTGTAGTGGGTAACACGTGATACTTTCTTTCTTGAAGCTTCGCTGTTAAGAATATGCCTACGCAGCTAGCATTGTAGTATCTGTAACTGGAAGCTTTCACACCTTACCGTTTCTGAATGAATTGGGTACGCATGCAGCAAACGTTCTTTTCGTTTGTGCTCGAGACATAAACCATACGTTTTTTTTTTTTTTTTTATTGAGTAGTCTTCTTCTTTCCTCTACTCCCGGCGACAGGGCAGGGAGAGATCTCTAGAACGGGCCCTTCTGTTCGCTTCGTATAAAGTACTTTTCATTGTTTCTGATATTTCTGCGGTCCATATTCTGCGTGGTCCACGTCTGGATCTGTTACCATTGTATCTGTATAACATTGCTCTCGGTGGGGCCCTGTCTGATGCCAGTCTTGTTACATGACCAAATCATCTGATGTGTTGCCTCTCAGTATTTGGTTCTGTGCCGACTCTGCTTCTGATATCATCGTTCCAAAGTCTATCTTTCCTCGTTACACCTAGCATTAAATAGTAAACAGTAACAATAAATAGTAACATATAATTCTTACTTGACACTGGCAAGTGTAAGCTTGAAAATCCGGCAATTACATGCACGCCTCGCCATTGATTGATAAGGATTAGGTGCCACCTCCTCACCTCATGTTATCTAAAATATACTGAACTCCCTGTATCGTCGGCTGTGTGGCTAGGTCGATGCGAACGCTTCATAATGCCGGGATGCCGGGTTCGATCCCAGCTGCGGGCCATGCGCATTGCGTTGGTTTCGACAGTGGTATAAAGAAAGCCGACCATCCAGAAAACAATGGCAAACTACTGGACGTAAATTTGCCTAGAAAAACAACAACAGCCAGGCGCTGTCGGGGTTGGTTCTGCAACGTCCTGTAAAGGATATGCAACTTACCTGAACTCCCTGTATCGCTTGCCTGATATCCGAAAACGGAGTTGTCAGAATGCCTGGTCTATGTGAAAACCAGTCTAACATCGTATGAGTTATGAGCAATGAGTAATGAGTTATGAGTTATTAGTCAGATTATCTTTTTTAAGGATATATCCAGTACAGCGGTCAGCGTCTGGGGCTTATGCGTTGCGAACGCGCTTCGTAATGCCGGGGTGCCAGGTTCCATCCCAGCTGCAGACGGCTTGTCTTTCGTTGGTTTCCACAGTGGTACCTAGAGCTGACCGTTTAGCCAGCCATGGCAAACTACTGAAAGTCAAATTAGCTAAGAAAAACCGCAAGAGCAAACAAAATGCTGGGTTTGGTTTTACAACGTTCTATTTAGGAGGCGCAACTAGTATAGCACCACATTCTTTATCTTATAACTGATGATACCCGTGGTTGCCCTGGCATTTCTTCACACCTCTTGAATTCATCCCATATTGTTTTCTTCAGGCTCTGCATTTCGGATCTATTTTTCTGTCCTTCCATGTTTTTACTTAGTTATGCAGCTTTCTGGAGTCCCCGTTGCGGAGCGGCTAGACGCTCGCTTCGGGTCGAAAGGTCGTGGGTTGGCTCCCTAAAGGAGCCGGACTTTTTTCACAAATGACCTTGGCTCCCAGGTCGACCCAGCCTTGAGTGGGTTTCGGGTGCAGTCCCGGGAAGTAGAGGCGGCCGGCGTGATGCTGACCACATCACCCATCTTGTGCCGATTGGTCTATAAAAATTTAGGTCTAGCCCTATATGCCCTATACGCCTAAAGTCATGGAAAAGGGTCCTTTACTTACTTACTTACTTACTTACTATGCAGCTTTCACTAACATATGTCAAAAGTGAAAAGGGAAAAGCCCATTAGAAATGAAAATGTGTAACTTTGTTTTAGAACTATACAATTTAATGGTATTATCTATGTCCTTACCTTATAGGTCTAGCCCTATCTGCCCAAATCGCCTGAAAACGCGGTAAATTGTGCTTTTAACTATGCAGCCGTATTATCCAGTGTGAGTGATACACAACTAGTTCATGATGTTATTAGTTCTAATAGTGTGTTAATAATTAATGTTAATAACTTATTTCTGTAGAGCCTACAAGAAACTTGTCGCCAAGAAGGGAGAAAACCCAAAACTACCAGTGTTAGGACTTACCCAGGACCAGTTATTTTTCCTTGCCTTTGGACAGGTAGGTAAATGTTGGATAAACCATTGTAAGGAGGAAATCACCCTAGATATTTCTTCTTTACGTCCTCTTTCGTCGCTTCGGGTGTCGAAAGGAATATAAGGTCCTGCGTCGTACTGTTCTGGCTAATTCGACCATAGACACATAGTGGTGCTGTAGAGTTTTCTTTTTCTTCTTTTTTTTTTCTCAGTATAATACTTCTACTACTACTACCATTACCAACATCACTACTACAAAACAACAACAACAACTACTACTGAAACTGCTGCTGCTGTTGATGCTGCTGCTGCTAGTACTAATAATATCACCACTACCACCACCACTACTACTAATATTACTACTGCTGCTTCTGTCATTTACTTCTCAATGAAGCATAGGCCCTCAACCAAACAAAACCAATCCTATAAAAACTGGCTTTGTGTTTACAGCTACGCTTGTCTACGGGATTGCGCAATCAGTCTCATTCCCACTCCTCATCGCCTATTACGACATGCTTGGTACCTTACAGTGTGATATTCATATACTCTTTTCTGGGCCGGGTGTCATAGAACACGATGGTAAAACCCTGCTACGTTATCAGTATTAGTTTTGATTGACTGGCACCTGTCGTCTTTCCAGACTATAGTGTTATACTGAGCTATGAGGAGGCATTAGACTCACAGCCCTTAGTGACCTTTCCATAGCACAAAGCCTGGGCAGAATTGTAGAGACCATTTTTTGCCCATGCATCATGATACTTCTCTAGACCTGCCTTGTTTTCTCCAAGAAAAGGTAACACCAAAACGTCTGGAACACAGCAGGCTGCAGAAGCTACCAGACAGAAGAGCAAGGCTCTGTCTGTCAGCCTGTCGAGCTTCCCTCATAGACAAGCTGCCAGCCACGGCTACAGGTCTAGTCTGTGCTGTCATAAATTAAAGTTTTCAGTTTGCATTTCTTCTTCCTAGGATAAGGCTAGTATCCTCTCCAATACGCTCCTCCGCCCGAAGCCGCTGGTACAATATGGGATGTTTGGTTAGTATACGCCGCCCAACATTCGGCGTAACAGAAGACAAGTGGTACCGGCTACTGTTATACGGTAGCTCAGTCATATCTGACCAAGACCTGGCGTCAAGTATTAGTATTATTAGTAGGGCTGTACCGAATAGTGATTATCACTATTCGGCCGAGAACGAATAACGGGACCAACTATTCGGCCGAATACGAATACGAAAATTGTATAGTCTATAAAATATATCTAAACGCACGCGCACACACACACACACACACACACACACACACACACACACACACATTCATAATGTCAAATGTATGCTGAACTTTTACTTCACATAAAGTAGCGCAGAATAGTCATCTTCTTCTTTAGCATTCTGAGCCCTTGAGGTTCACTGCTGCAAATATCACTCGTCTCCATTCGTCTCTCTGGCTGGCCTTCTCTTCACAATTTGTGACACCAGTTGTTTGCAGGTCTGACTGGATATTATCTAACTTCTTTTTTGTCTGTTTCGTGGTCCACGCCCATTTCTCTTTCAGGGGTATACAGTTTTTACTTCTCTGTCATCTGACATTCTTTCAAAATGCCCCAATCATTTTAGTCTGTTAGCTCTCATGATGCCAGTGATCAATGGTGATTTAAACAGATAATGTGTTAAGTTGTTGCTTCTCACTCTCCATTCCCCGCTGTTAGTATCGTTGATGGGTCCAAAGATTTGTCGTAAGACTGTTTTCGAATACCCGTAAAGGCCTCATCTCTTTTATTTCTGCTTCAAGTTTCAGAGCCATTTAAAACGACTGGTCTTATCAAAGTTTTATATATTTTGATCTTGGTGTTGCGAGACAGACACTTTGACTTTAACAGAAGTTGAAGGGCATAGTATATTTTATTTCTAGATTGTATTCTAGATTGTATTTCTTCTTTCAGCATGTTGGAGCAGTTGATGTTTGCATCCAAATAATTTTATGTTTCCGATCGTTTTATTCTCATATTATCGACTTGGATGTGGCCGGAGTTTATATTATTTCCATGTCTAGTAGTATTCGTACAGAATATTAAACATTTAAAAACATTTTATGTTTTGCATCTTTCAGTCAGTCTGTGGTAACTAATAACTAGAAATGAAAGAATCCTAAGTGTTATAACAAGTAACTAAACTTGGGAATTGTCACTGACAGCTTAATGAATGCATGAAAGCTGCATTAGCTTTCAACAAAACCAATCGTTCCATGTTGTCAGTATTAAGGACGTGTATGCAGAAGCGCGTGTAAGGTAACTACTATTCGTATTCGGCCCGACCGCAACTATTCGGCCGAATACCGAATAGTCAATAGGTCCACTATTCGGCCCCGAAACGAATACGAAGCGAATATTCGGTACAGCCCTAATTATTAGTATTTTTATCATTACTCCGCATTATTATTATTATTATTATTTTTAATATTATTACTATTATTATTATATTTATGCAGTTTTGGTGTGAGAAGACAACAAAGGAAAGTCTGATCAACATAGTGACTTCAGGGACACATCCACCAGGAAAATTCAGGTAACAAAAGTCATAATTTAAAATGCTGCTTTTTCTTATGTCATTCTTTAATCACCTTGTTTTGTACACCTCACATCCGTTGTTTTTTGGAGTACCTATATACTTAAACTTTTCAATTACTTCAGTCCTCATTTACTTTTGATGTCGCCTTTTCGAAGGCATCTTCACCCTTTAAAATTACATCTTTTTTTTTCTTTTTTTTTTGCGCTGTTCTTTTTTTCTTCTTACCTTCGCGTTGACCGTCTGTAAACTCCGGCACAGTTCTGATTGCTCGTATATTTCTCAACTTTAGTCATGTCCCAGAACTTAGGTTTTTGAGTGCACATCCGTTTTATAGATCTGGCCTGTTTGTATGCAGAATGTTAGCTCGTCGCCTCTCTGGCAGATAAATTCCGACTTCGACGGAAACTCCTATAGTCGGCCTATACGACATGTTTGCCAAGGTGACAGTGGGTCTTTTTCTCTAAACTTACACTCCCCCCCCCCACGCCTCAACATACACACACACACACACACACACACACACACACACACACACACTGAGGCTCCGGAACACACTAGGGAGATTAAAGGTTAGTTGTGTATCCTTTACAGGACGTTGCAGAACCAACCCCAGCAGCCCGTGGCTGTTGTGTGGTTTCTCTAGGCAAATTAACGTCCAGTAGTTTGCCATTGCTTAATGGGCGGTCGGCCCCCTGATACCACTGTCGAAACCAACGCAAGGCGCATGGCCCGCAGCTGGGATCGAACCCGGCACCCCGGCATTACGAAGCGTCCGCATCGACTTAGCCACAGAGCAGACACTAGGGAGATTACGCTGTTCAAACTAAGGCTTTTGACTTTCAGTTACAATTATGTCTTGTCTTTTGTTTACAGTAGAACTCCAATCTTCGTTCACGCCAATATTTGCCTTCTCTTTCTCTCTCTCTCTCTCTATATATATATATATATATATATATATATATATATATATATATATATATATATATATATATATATATATATATATATATATATAATATATATATATTCGTCCCGTTTTTTTTTTTCGTTGAAATTTTTGTTTGATCGAACCCGGTACACTGGCATTACGAAGCGCGTTCGCACCGCCTAAGCCACAAATGCTGACTTCAGCCATCAGTACGAGTAAAGATCAGTCATAACGAAAGAGAAATGATGATTACGGTGGTTAATATCTAATTAAAATGTATTTGCAGTGCTTTACCAAACTGATTTTCTAGAGGGGTGTGTGGTGTGTGTGTGGTGTGAGTGTGTGTGTATGTGGTGTTAGTGTGTGTGTGGTGTGTGAGTGTGTCTGTGTGGTGTGTGTGTGTGTGGTGTGTGTGTGTATGGTGTGTGTGCGTTTGAAAGAATAGTAAGTAAAGGATAGGCAGAACAAATTTTAGGCTAGGAACAGAAAAAACGTTTTTGTAGATAATTTCCCCTATAGGAAAAATTCGTCCTAATATTCACTCTTCCCTCAAAAACGTGTAAATGACGAATGCTTGTGTACATCTAACTTGACTATGTCATCACCACACCGTAGATTGTTTACATTGGACAATTCTAATTAACGTGTAGAGTGTAACAATCATTAGATCCGTACAGGAAATGTTAGTGATATGTTCTTTCATGGCGTGGGAACATATCTGTGTAAGAAATGATTGACAGTTCACGAGACAGGAGGTTATATACAGACATGACAACGAAAGCTACATTACCTGAGATTTAAGATGACTAAGAGGTATATTTCATCACTAAGCTTCGTCATTCTCGTCCTCCTCCTCCTTATCATCATCGTCTTCTTCTTCTTCTTCTTCTTCTTCTTCTTCTTCTTCTTCTTCTTCTTCTTCTTCTTCTTCTTCTTCTTCTTCTTCTTCTTCTTCTTCTTCTTCTTCTTCTTCCTCTTATTCTTCTTCTTCTTCTTTTTCTTCTTCTTCTTCTTCTTCTTCTTCTTCTTCTTCTTCTTCTTCTTCTTCTTCTTCTTCTTCTTCTTCTTCTTCTTCTTCTTCTTCTTCTTCTTCTTCTTCTTCTTCTTCTTCTTCTTCTTCTTCTTCTTCTTCTTCTTCTTCTTCTTCTTCTTCTTCTTCTTCTTCTTCTTCTTCTTCTGCTTCTTCTTCTTTTATGATGACAAACCAATGTTATTAAAGACCCAAAGAAATCATAACATATCCATGAAAATGAGATAATTTCGGGAAAAGGGGGTGGGGGTGTAATATCTGGGCAAATTAAGTGATATCCGGGAAAGATTGATTATCTGAAGAAATGATGCTTATATATTTTTTTTTAAAATCAGTATATAAAAAGCATTAGAAAATTAGGACTTTTGACAATCCTAACTGCAGCCAATTCCCATAATGACTTTTTTATTCCACAGAATTATTGGCTCTCTACAAAATTCTGAAGACTTTGCCAAAGCCTACAAGTGTCCAAGAGGATCCTACATGAATCCAGAGAAAAAGTGTGCCGTGTGGTAATCATGGCTAAAACTGAGGACCAGTCGTTTGTGGCTGCATATATTAGATTCTGTGACTTACTTTGATACTTTGATACTGTGACCGAGTGTACTATGTAATTACTAAGCGTCTTGCCGGCTGGCATAGGGGTATCCATGTTTTCCCAGATCGTGCCGTCGCTATCAGCATGTATCAGCTTGAGTTTTGACACCTGTACAAAAGTATGTCAAGAATCTTCTCTCGTTGTCATCCTTTATCTCTTTCAGATCACTATGTTATTGTATATTTATCAATCTTACACCGCTCTGTACTCACATCATTCTACAACACAAAGCTGTCATAATCGTATCACATTATACTATCATTATTTTGTCACTTAAAACTGGCCTCACTTAGAGGTGTCATCATTGAATCACTTTATCCTGTCATAGTTGTATCACATTATCCTGTCATTGTGTATTACACTATTATGTACACTATAATGGTATCAATCTCACCTGGCTTTTGCCGGGGGAACACTGTCCTGTCATCATTGAATCACACTATTCTATTATATAATGGTATCAATCCCATCGTTTCTTTTGCCGGTGGTACACTATCCTATCATCGTTGAATCACACTATCTATTATGATGGTATCAATCCCACCGTGGCTTTGGCCGGGGGAACACTATCCTGTCATCATTGAATCACACTATCCTATTATGATTATCTCATCCCACCGTGGCTTTTGCCGGGGGAACACTCTCTTGTCATCATTGAATCACACTATCCTATTGTGATGGTATCAAGCCCACCGTGGCTTTTGCCGGGGGAACACTATCCTGTCATCATTGAATCACACTATCCTATTATGATTGTCTCATCCCACCGTGGCTTTTGCCGGGGGAACACTCTCTTGTCATCATTGAATCACACTATCCTATTGTGATGGTATCAAGCCCACCGTGGCTTTTGCCGGGGGAACACTATCCTGTCATCATTGAATCACACTATCCTATTATGATGGTATCATCCCACCGTGGCTTTTGCCGGGGGAACACTCTCTTGTCATCATTGAATCACACTATCCTATTATGATGGTATCATCCCACCGTGGCTTTTGCCGGGGGGCCCAAAACATAGCCAGGCCTTAAATATGGCCTAACGGTTGAACGGGGTTTCCGGGACCTCTCCACTGGTGATCCTCATCCGCATAGTGGCACTTTGTGTCACCGGGTGTTTATCGCTTGTGTGATTTCCTGGTAGGGTACAAATTACTTACCTCTCAATCCTGTCATCATTTAATCCCAGAACATACAACCATTATACATCTGCACTGCCTTCAAGGTCAAGACAGGGAACATTGTAAACATATTTTTTGGGATGAGGCATGTCTTTGAACTTTGTGATAGCTGAAACATGTGCTGGAGGAATTGATATATCTGCTCAACATACATAAAGCGCTGATAAGACCAGTTGAACTGTAGGGCTCCGAAACTTGGAGCACAACTAAAAGAGACGAAGATGCAGCCATATTAATTTTTTTTTCTTTAATTATTATTAAACAGAGCCTTACGACAAATCTTTGAACCCCACAATCTGCAAACTGCGGATGGAGAGTGAGAAGCAATAGCGGATTTCATCATTTGTTAAAACTATCATTGATCACTTGCATCATGAAGGCTAACAGACTGAAAGGACTAGGGCATATTGAGAGAAAATTAGGACTACTAGAGGGGAAAACAGTGTACATAAGGAAGTTGAATGGTCGTAGAACAAGAAGACGTGGAAAGTGGAAAGATAATATCAATACAGACCTACAAACATTTGGAAGGTGAAGGCTGTCCAGTGAGATGAACGGAGGTTGGTTGAATTCTGCAGCTATGAACCTCGAGGGAGCGAAATGCTGATAAAGAAAAAGGGTTTGCACTTAACGCTGATTGTAGTAAAACAACGTCTTTCACTGTTTTAATTATCCCTTTGCCCATCATGCTATTACCCTATAAAGTAGTGGTTATTTTACATTGTACTAACTTTATTATGTCAGTTTACGTTATAAGCACTATACTACTTTATACATTAAATCACTCACTTGAAGACATTATAAGCACTATACTACTTTATACATTAAATCACTCACTTAAGGACGTTATAAGCACGACACTACTTTATACATTAAATCACGCACCTAAGGACGTTATAAGCATTTTACTACTTTATACATTAAATCACTAACTTAAGGACGTTATAAGCACTACATTACTTTATACATTAAATCACCCACTTAAGGATTTTATAAGCATTTTACTACTGTATACATTAAATCACTCACCTAAATACGTTATAGGCAATATACTACTTTATATATTTAATCACTCACTTAAGGACTTGATAAGCACTATATTACTTTATACATTTAATCACTCACTTAAGGACGTTATAAGCACTATACTACTTTATATATTAAATCGCTCATTTAAGGACTTTATAAGCAATATACTACTTTATACATTAAATCACTCACTTAAGGACTTTATAAGCACTATATTACTTTGTACATTTAATCACTCACTTGAGGACGTTATAAGCACTATACTATTTTATATATATTAAATCGCTCACTTAAGGACGTTATAAGCCTTATACTACTTTATATATTAAATCATTTACTTAAGGACTTTATAAGCACTATACTACTGTATACATTAAATCATTCACTTAAGGACGTTATAAGCACTATACTACTGTATACATTAAATCACTCACTTCAGGTTCTGGTCCCCCAGCTACTATGCTGAGTGCTTGGTGCGACACTGTGTTTCCCGCGAACGCTTTTTGTTGGGAATTGCACTACAAATAGCTAATGGCTCTTGTGAAGCGTATGCTGTATTCGGTATTGCGTGTGCAATGCCGGTTTTCGTAACCGACTGCTTGCACCAGTAGTACTTGCAATTCTGGTATTGAACTGCTAACGCTGGGTAATGAGAGGTGCCTTATGCCTTTACTTGTATGTGCCAACCTCAAGATTTTCCTGGTACTGATAAGTTTATCAGTAGTTTTTCAAATAGGACAGTAATGGATATTTATTTTGATTTCCACCAGCACATGAGTGAAGCCGCTATGGAGCATCCATCTGCAGTGACGATGGGATGTCCACTAACTAACGACTATTATACAATTGTCTTCTCAAGCCAGCCTTCCGCTTGCTTTAGCATCAGCTGTACACACATGCCGTCATTGTAACTGACTCACACAGAATGCTGAGAAAGGTGGACACAGGCATGTTCCGTGCAGAGTGGCAAGCATCACTTAAAGGTCCCGGGTAGTTAGCGTCCTTTGGATATTTTATAGTCATGCCGGTGTGTTGAGAAATTAACAGGCAGATAGACTGGCCGGTTCTGCACCACTTGGTGATAAACTGGTGTATGACAAGCTAGATGCTGTGAGGGCCCTTTGGGAGCGAGTGGACAGTGCCGAGGCAAAGATGGATCATTACGGTCTGAAAAAAATGGCACTGCGAGGAGTTGCTGTGGACTCTGCCCGATGCTCGACATTCAGGGGAAAGGCGAGACGGATATACAATCAGACAGTTACTGGTACCATCGGAATTTTAACTCCTCGCTTGCTGCTGAAGATGGGGACGGAGCGCTTATGGGGAGTTCCGAGTGCTGTGATGTCGATACTTAATTCAACATTCACCATTCAATTTTATAACACTAGAAAGAAAGTGTGCCAATTTTAATTGTTACTGTATATATCGCTTTCCAAAATGTACGTTTCCCCTACATGATATAATAATATATGATAATACTGTTAGAATTATATCACTTTAAACTGGTGGTTATTTTTGTGGACTGATTCTTTGATTGAATGAGCAATGGATGATTTGTATACTGACAAACGGATTAGGTGTTAATAATTGATTGAATGAACGAATGGTTAAATGAATAGTTTTTTTCTTATTTTTCTTTCTGCTCTCCTTCGTCTCCTCTCCCTTTTTTCGCGTAACTAGAAGAAGAGACGAACGAGGAGCGGAGGAGGATGGGTAGTAGTAGCAGCAGCAGCAGTGGTAGTAGTAGTAGAAGACGTGGTCACAGCAGCAGTAGTAAAAGCAGCAACAGAAGCAGCAGTAGTAGTAGCAGCATCATTATTATTTTTATTATTATTATTATTATTATTATTATTATTATTAGTAGTATTAGTAGTAGTAGTAGTAGTAGTAGTAGTAGTAGTAGTAGTAGTAGTAGTAGTAGTAGTAGTAGTAGTAGTAGTAGTAGTAGTAGTAGTAGTAGTAGTAGTAGTGGTAGTAGTAGTAGTAGTAGTAGTAGTAGTAGTAGTAGTAGTAGTAGTAGTAGTAGTAGTAGGAGTAGTAGTAGTAGTAGTAGTAGTAGTAGTAGTAGTAGTAGTAGTAGTAGTAGTAGTAGTAGTAGTAGTAGTAGTAGTAGTAGTAGACGTGGTCACAGCAGCAGTAGTAAAAGCAGCAACAGCAGCAGCAGTAGTAGTGATAGTAGTAGGAGGAGGAGGATTACAAGGAGGAGAAGGAGTGGAAAAAAGGAAGGAGGACTCACAAAATGAATAAGGTGAGCGATCTGAAAATACACATGCCTGTATCATCATCGGTCCTATGAAGTTCTTGCATTGCGTGTACATTCTCTTTATGCGATGAATTCTCAAGATCCCATACCGGAAAGAGACCGCTGCATTCTTCGATATACATGTATGCAATAAAAGTGGTCTGTTAGAAACAAAAACACGCATGTTTAAAAACCCACCAGATAATTGTCCTGAGGTGAAAAATCACAAGTGCACCGTTTACCGTCCGTGCTGTGTATGTGTGTGTGTTTGTTTGTGTGTGGGGAAGGGGGAGGGTGGAGAAGGATGGGGATCAACACGATATCCTAGCAACAGGTAATCAATCACCGAGCGGGGCCGTCAATCATCGTGGACTTCTTAATGACCAACGGGTTAAACAGCTAGATGGTCCTAGCCAAGGCTTCCTTACGTTTTTAGAAAATAAAGGTGTCTGTAATCGTCCCACAATGCCCTGGTCCTATCTCTCCCTCATCTTCCTCTCCTACTCTCTATCTCGCATCCTTCTGTCTTTCTCTCTTACCATCCACTATTCAGTCAGTTTACTAAATACCTGCCTGTTCGTTTATCTATTTCTGTTTGTCGGTCTGATTGTCTTTATGTACCTGCTTGTCTGCGTGTCTGCCTTTGTGTTTGCTTGTATTTCAGTCTGTTTGTCTATCTCGTCCAGGCTGTCTCACACGCAACATCTCTGTCTCGCTCGCTGTTTGCTATATCCTCCGCGTCTCGTGTTTTAGACATGGTTTAGGCGCTATTGGAGCTAATGTACAATTCTGAGGCGCGAAGAGATCTGGAAGAAATGGAGCATCGGGGAGTCACCAGAAGAAATGTCGACACACGACATTCGGAACAAAGTCAGACTGTAACTGGCACCATCGGTTTTAGAACTCTGCCCTGGCTGCTAAAGACAAGGACGGACCGCATATGGGAAGGCTGTGATATTCCGGCACCTCAATGCTTCTAAAAAAACTTTCATCTGTCTCTTCCTAATGCTTGTGGTGCAGAAATAATCGGCTTGAAACAAAACGGTTTAAGGGGCAGAAAATGCATCTTACTGCATCGTGTTTACTGCCCCCCCCCCCCTTTTTTTTTTTTAGTATCAAGAAGCCATGAGTTGTTTGACCCGTATGCTCGGTATTATGGATATCTCAACCCTTCGGCCTTGAATCCATGATAAATACCGTAAATCTGGGAGAAATGTGGCTTTTCTACCTACCCCTGGGAGTGAACCCAGACCACAAGGAGTTCGTCACCCGGTTACCTCGTAGTCCGGTTTAACCAACTACGCTAGCGAGCCGGGCTGTTTATTACCCTCAATATCCTTTATTTTTATTTGATAAGCTTAGCTGGTAGTCCCATCCAAAAATTCGAGAATCACTGTTTTCCCTACATTAGCTCCATGTCAAACCTGGGATGGCGTGCGTGCAATCACCAAACAGGAAGAGTTGGTCACGCACGCCCTAACACAACACTGAAAGACACACAGACATACACCAGTAATATTTCACAATAGCCTGAAGACCTGAAACTACCAAGGGGCTTTCAGGCAAACATCTTTTGGGTTTAGTTGCGGCATTCGTGTTGAAAGTAAACTTACTAATATATTTTGAAACGAAAAAAATGTCCAGTTTTGAAACACTCTCCAAATTATGCGAGAAAAGAACAGTGCGTTGAAAAACATTGCGTATATTTTGACATTAGTGTAGTGCTGTGAAAATACGCTTTTTGGATTTAGGAAATTGTAAATAAATATAGTCTTCAATATCCGGATAGGAAAGAGTTTTTTAAGAAGAAATAATTGGGTAATATTGAATTTTGGAAAGTAAATTGATTAATCAAATATAATGCGTACAAAATATTCACTAGCCTATGTTTCAACTATAGGTGAGTCATTTGATCAATTGTTGTTGTAATTGTAATCCTTTTCGTCGTCTTCTTCATAATCATTATGATTATTAACAAACGACTTGATAGACAGTCCTCACCCCAAGTATTATTTTGTTTTATGCCGTCTCCACAATGAAGTTTGACTACAGAGTTATTTTTCTGTTGTTTTCTCTTTAATTGCCTGTTGTTCCATCTATTATTCCTTCTGTTCTTTCTAGTTATTAGGTATTATTTCACTGTTGTTCTTTCCCCTATGTTATTTGCTGTTTGTATTGTTTCCTCTGTTTTGTGTGTGTGTGTGTGTTATTTTTTAAAATTTCCTATCACTTATTATTTCCCCGTTCTTTCCTGTGTTGTTTCAAGTGTTATTTTATGTTATGTCCTATTATTTTCCTTTGTTATTTATGTCATTTCCTCTTCTGTCTCCTGTTATTTCCTGTTTACTTCTTCTTCTTTGTTCACTGGCTGTAAGCTCCCGTGGAAATTCCCGGCTGCTCGTCGCTTTGGACTTTGGCTTTATACCAGGGCCTGAGTTCTGCATGTAAATCCGTTTTACTTGCTTATTTTTGGGCAGTTGGATGTTCCTTGCCGCTCGGGCAGATGCATTCAGGAATCTCCCCAGTTAGTCGATTCCTACATGCCTGTTGGGGAGGTAAGTGTGTCCATTCTTGTTGTCCACATAACTAGGCCCCGGAACCCACACAAAGCAGCAGAGGAATGACTATCGCGAAAATAGTATTGTATTTAAAACAAGGCTATCCTCCGGGCTATCCTCCGAATAACGGCCACATATTATGGCGACTTAAATTGCAGACCGGCGACTATACCGACACCGCTGAGAGCATCTCCCGCCCTGCTACGCGCGGGCTGAACTAGATGGCTGGGACTCAGGAGCAGCAGCTTCCGCATCTCCTGCAGCTTTGCTCGTGAGTCCCAGCAATCTAGTTTAGCCCCGCTCCACGCCGCGCGTAGCGGCGCAGGAGATACTCTTGACGGTGGCGGTATAGTCGCCGGAAGTCCGAAATTTACATGTGACAGGCCCTGTTTTTGGCCGCCATAATATGTGGTCGTTATTCGGAGGATAGCCCTAAACAATAAATGTAAGCGCAGACGTAGAGAGAATACGTCTTCTTCTTCTTGTCTTCCACCTTGTAACTCATCGAAGTGTCGGGGGGAGATGTTTTGTTCGTTGATGAGCTCTGTCAAGATCACTATTAAGAATGATGTTCATTTCTGTAAGGCTCTTCTTAATGCCATCTCTCCATATTTTCCGAGGTCTTCCACTCACTCTATACCCGTTGTGAAGTTTTATTGTGACTCGCAGTGGCAGATAGTACCAGGGCATTCTTGTTAGGCGTCCAAACCACTTCATTTGTTGTTCTGTGATAACTTGTAAGACTGGCTTTATTCCTAACATTCTTCTGATTTCGTGATTTCGAGAGAATATGTTGTATGTTAAATATCTAACCGTCCTTTTTCCCTACGTTAAATTAGTCTTTCAGTGTATAGAATCCTAATCTGTTTTGTTTTTTACCCTGTCCATTTGATCCCGTAGAGCCTCCACCATATCCGCTTTATTATATACAGTCAAGTCTGGATAAGCAGAAGTCGCAGGAAGTTAAGAAAATGCTCCCACTTATCAGGATTTCTACTTATCCAGACAGCACACACAATAAAGAAATTTGCCGGAACTTAACCGAAATTCGACTGTAGTAGCTCACCGCCCAGAGGAGCGGCCGAAGCCAATCTATCACTGCATGTTACCTCTAACAGCTAAATGTCCTGGACAGAAAATCCACGATATGCTCTTATCAAGCGATGAAAACCACTCTGGGTTCAGAACACCAGTATCAGTTTTCCGAAGTATGCTCTGTGAGTCCGTTACAATAACAACATGTCGGGCTGTGCTGCTCTCAAGGCACCGGAAAGCTGCCGTTACCGCCTCACCTCCATTCGCATACTGGATGTTCCGACGTTGCACGCGAAGCTCTCTGTTTTCTTGCAGTGACTATTCCCCTCTGCAATAAAAACCTATCCACTCTTATACCTCTTACTACAGATCCATCTGTATATATTATGATGTCATCTGAAAGTGAATTTTCATTGATTTGTTCTTACGCCGCTGACTCTTTTTTAACTAGCTGTCCATTCCCTCCCCTGGTTCAAGGTAACTATCACTCTGTGCAAGTCTATTTTCTTTGGTGGCAAGGTAACCCATGCTTCTCCATTGGCTTTCTTGTCAGTAGCACAGACAGTTCTGATCGTGACTTCTGTCTGTGCCATCGAAGAGCCGTCTCTTTTCAGCCGTTGCTATCCCCTGAGGCCTCGCGCAGAAAGTGTTCCCTCTCCGTTGCGACTTTGAGGTACATTTTCGCATGTAAAACCTTGTATCTCGCGTACACGGGTAGCAATTCAAGCTACATATGTGCCACATATTACATTAAACATATTACATTTTACATTTTACAGATAATTACATTAAACTAACTTCTTTTGTTTCTACACATTTAAAAAAAATATTTTTTAGCTGTAGCCGCCATACTTCTTGTCATGGCGTCATCGATAAAGGCGCAGCCTCCAGCTAACCAACAACCAAATATACCACCAACTCAGCAATCTGGCATGCCACCAAATCAGCAACCTGGCATGCCACCAAATCAACAACCTGGCATGCCACCAAATCAACAACCTGGCATGCCACCAAATCAACAACCTGGCATGCCACCAAATCAACAACCTGGCATGCCACCAAGTCAACAACCTGGCATGTCAC